TCAGTCTCAGTTCGCGATTCTAAAAAATGTCTTGGCAGTCAATCAGGTCAGTTCACTACCTCCAGACTGACAGTTTGAACCGCAAAGATGAACTGACAACTGACTGATTGACTGATAGCAACTCTAGAAAGGCGTGAGGATCAATTGCCTGGGTGACGTCAAGATGCTCAAGAGACCACGTTTCGAAGACATCGAACTTCCAACTACAGATGTCATCTTCACCAAGCATGACACCTCGGATATAGCTAATCGAATCGGTATTCCCATCCTGACGCGACGCTGTGCACCGGATCCAAAGTGGGCTGATAGCAAAGACCCTATGTTTGAACACAGGTCTCCCTTCGAAAACCAAAGCGCAACGTTTCTGCATCAGTGTTGTGATCCCAACGATAGAGGCGATTTCAGCAACGGATTCCTAGGCTGGGGCTGGTGCCCTATGCAGTGGCAGAATGATGTGGGAAGTGTGGTCGTGGTGCGGAAGGATAAGAGAACTCTCCTTCCAATACACATGGAGGCACTCGCCGGATATTGTCAGAACGAGATTGGGCCACTGATGGGTCATTCGACTGGTGAGTATTATCCGGAAGAGCCAATCGAGAAACATCATGTTTTGGAGATCATTTGTCGGCCGATGTTCGTTCTTTATTGGTCGAAATTCGTGGAAAAGCAGAAGGATTACACACCGAGCCCTTATGAGTACAAAGACCTGTAATCAAGCCTTGCGATGAATCGAACCTTTCTTCTTCAGAATGTTATTCAATATCAAAGTCTGCTCAAATCCACGTAGGATATGTTACAGCTGATGAACATCATAGCAAGCAGCTTTACGCCGAAGCGCTAATCATAGCGAATGACACTGTCCAAGTCCGTCCGGCTAAAGCCAGTGGACTCCTCCAACGCTAGATCGCCTCCTAAGATGTTTTGTGATGAATAATGACACCGGACCCTCTTTTGGGTGTCGAGCTACTCCACATAATACCTCCCAGACGCCAAAGATAGATCTGGAATTGGAGAATTCTAGGTGTATCGGTCTAAGTAGGATCGCATTTAACAACTAATGCACCTACCAGGGTCTACATGCAATACGACTAACTATCTACGCCTATCTGCGGGGTATGCAGGAAGCCGTGCAGCGTGAGTATCCTACGTCAGATGAACGTGGTATAGTGCATGTAGATGGAATGTTATTTCTACTTGGTATGCCCTGAGCAGTCAAACTAGTCTGTCGCATCATCGGAAGCCTTGGTAACTCTTCTTGTCGCAATTTACCCTCACTAACAGGGAGTATGGCTGGCCCACTTTGGCCGCAGGGTTACCGATGGGCGCACCGGTCATGTCTGCGTGGCAGCGTGGATGAGCGGGCGCCAAGATGTTCACCACATGTGATCGGAAGGGAAGCTAATCAAGCGGAGCTCGTGTAATCGCGAACATTCATCATCTAGTCTGCATGTGTGAATTGTTGTTCTAAATGTATACATAGAAGATTGTTTCTGCCAGGTAGAACTTGTCGTCACCGTGTGTATCAAGGTATCACACGACCATGTCTCGCTTTAATGAGTTCGATAGCCTTTAAACCAACTAGCAGCCATCGAATCATCTTCATCTTGTAAGTCTTGTTCCCGTGTGTTTATTCCTTCAAATCTTGCTCAATGACATGAAGCTTGACAGCATCCATGGGCCGATGACTAGCAAAGAAATCATCATACAACAGATCGTATTCACTTAATTCATTCCCTTTCAAGTGCTTGAACTTTCGGAAGATGGACCCCAAGGTCACGTACATTTCACAGAGAGCAAGCCTATGCAATCAGCTTCATTTTAAGGAATCAGTTGCAGCGAACACTTACGGCATCCCAACACACATCCTGCTCCCCTTTCCAAACGGAACAAACGCCTTCCACATCTTTTGCTTGTCGCTGGTCAGCGCCCACCGCTCAGGAATAAACTCGTGTGCATGGGGAAAGTAGTCTTCGTTCCGATGCAGGACCCAAGAGGACATGGAAACGGTGAAGCCGGCGGGAATCATGTAGCCCTCGAAATTGGCGCCGCCTTCCGGGACGATGCGCGGGAGGCGGGAGATGACGCCGAAGGAGAGGCGGAGGGATTCGTTCACCACGCCAGACAGATAGGGCAGGCGTTCCAAAACGGCAAGTTCCATCTTGGCGTCTGGATCTGGAAACGCGGTTCCTAGTTCTGCCGTGAGCTTTGCGTAGATCTTGGGATTTTTGATCACTTCGTAGACTCCTGTCGTCAACCCATTGCCTGTTGTATCTGCTGCTGCTGCCAAGATACCGTAAGTTTCGTATTTGATCTGATCTGGAGTTGGTGGGACCCAGCCTTCTTCGGAGTTTGGCGTCAGCAGTTCGTAGAAAATTGTTTTGCTGGTGTCTTTGCTGACTCGGCCGGAGTCGATATCGGCTTTGGTGACCAGGATCTGTTGTTTGGCTTGCTACAATCCGTGTCAGACGATGGATCTTCAGGGGGGATTCGGGGAAAGAGTGTGACATGAAGGAAAGACATACTTCTTGCAGGTCTAGGATGTGCGCAAGAGGTGGGCTCATCTTTTTCAACATCCATTGGGGAAGGCGGTTCATGATGCTCAGCTCCGGCCATTGCTGGAAAACCCATAGCGCAGGACCAATGCCTCTGACCAGCTCGAAGAAGTGGGTGCCTAGATCCGGGGCATCGAGAAGAGCATAGGACTTGTTGAACATATACTGAGTGATTACATCAACTGACAAAGCGCGGCATCCATGATGGATATCCAGCATTTCCCCCGCCTTTGAATTTCTTGTTATCAGATCACATAGCTTGTCGGCCTTCTCTTTCACGATGTTCTGCAATTCCAGCACTGCGGCCCGCGAAAAAAATTTGTTCAGCGGTCCGCGCCGGAGACGATGCAGCTCGTTAGGGCAGGAGGTGAAGGAAGCATATTCCATGCCGAATGCATCATAGTATCTTGGGTCCTTTGAGTATTTCGACCCTACATAGTATATCGCCTCGTAGTTCTCAGGGTTGCTCAACGAGACTTCGTTGGGGGTGATGCGCACAATAGGACCGTACTTCTCGTGCAGGAGGCCGACCTGCTTGTAGAAGCGACTACCATCTTTGAAGCTGTAGTAAGTCTGGTAGAGGAAGGTGATAGCTGCGAGCTTGGGGCCTGGGATTTGCGCGAGGGGGTGGAAGAAGAGGCGGTAGACGACGATGTAAGCGACGAAGGAAGTGATGAGCCCTGCGGCGTAGATCCCTGCCTCAGGGCCGAGTCCAAGCTCCAACCCCACCATGGTGATGGACCTCGGGACACTATTTGATTGCTTGGGGGACCAGTGCCCGACGCAGTTCCACAGCGCTGGGTCAGCAAAGGCGTCTTGGTTGGTGTGTATATGTACGATGGGGGCACGAACACACCCTTTGTAGCTGCCACGTTGCATAAAGCGGCGGAATGACCGGGCGCGGCTTTTCAATCTCTAGGATGCAGCTAAGTCTATCGCCATGTTGAACGCGGCTTACTGGGCCAATCACCGTCAAGCTCGATCGACCACTACTCCGTGTTGAGGTCACAGCTCAGCCCACCACACGTACCAACGCATACTCCTCAGGTCGCCAGGCCGTTCGCGGCAACGACCTCTTCAACCTCGATTATCTTGATCACCAGCATTGATTCCAAAGTCCAGAAAACAAAAGTACAATTGCCTGAATTCATTATCATACCCTATGGACATTTGGCGCTAGAGCCTCAAAGGTTAGAAATGTCAAAATATGGGGGGTCGCGCCGAGCCGTGCCACCGATTTTTGGACATGCCGAAGCAGGTTTCTCCACCATGGCGGGGTAGGCAAGGATAGATGCGGTAAGCTGGTTCGCTAGCTCAGCTGTCATGACATCTTCCGCACTCCCCGACGTCTTTAGCATTCTGGTGGATGTAACTCCACTGTAGCACGAGTAAATCTCTGGCATACGATCGAAGGACGCTGGAAATCGCGATACTGCCGTGCACCATCTCTGGAAACCTGCCGAGTATTTGTATACCCTTCTGATAGAGACATGAGCCTCAACACCACAGAAGGGCCGTCTCCGACAGCAGAGAGTTCCGCAACGCCGCCCGCAAATACTACCCCGGCAACTGCCGTGGAAGGGATCCCTGCTGCGGCTGACGAAACTGCCGAGACGGTCTCAGTGGAAGCGACCATCTCTATCGTGAGTATGCATTTATCAGAAGTGGCCAAGCTTACCAGGGATCAAGGACCCATTGGAAGAGGATACTGATACGGACTCCGCGTTTGGAGAAGACAAGTAAGGTTGAATACCTTGCGCAATGGACAAGACATTAATTATCGTAGTGCGAGCACTACGTCCTCGATCGCAAGCAGTATCCGGAGGTACCGTAGTTTGCATGGACGGACGTATCATAACTTCCACACGGAAAGTTCCTCAGAGTACTGGTGAGTCAGGTCTGCAATGGACAATACAAGCGGCTGACTGTTATCAGGGGCCCAAATGATGACAAGATGAATGAGCAGTTGGATATTGGGTATGCGCCTTTCATTCTCCGGGACAAAAAACCGGCTAACGAGCTCGTAGACATCATATGCTAACGCTCATGCTGGACGGGAAGCTCTTCCTTGCACCAATCGGTCCAAATCCACAGGTAAATTTGCGTCGTCAGACAATAGAGGCACGAAAGCTGATAAGTCATTCAGAAAGTATTGGACGTCGGAACAGGAACTGGGATATGGGCTATGTATCCAGTGTGCTCTCCGCATCGATCGACATCTACTGACAGTAATCAGTGACTTCGGAGACCAATTCCCATCAGCAGAGGTGATCGGTGTAGACATATCCCCTACACAACCGACCTTCACCGCTCCAAATGTCAAGTTCGAGCTCGACGACGTTCAGCTTGAGTGGACCTACCAACCAAATAGTTTCGATTACATCCACGTGCGCTGCATGCTTGGCGCAATTCAAGACTGGGCACATCTCTATCGTGAGATTTACAAGTAGGTTTTGACCCCGAAATGAACCACAAACCACGCCTGTGCTCAAGAAAAGTGATCTAGATGCACCAAGCCCGGGGGGTATATAGAGCATCTCGAAATTTCAATCATGTTCAAATCTGAAGACGGTACCGTGACGAAAGACCACTTTATGGCGCAATGGTCCAAGATACTACTTGGTGCTGCCGAGAAGATTGGCAAAACCTTCGCCATCTACGACTTCAACCGGGAGATGATCACGCAGGCAGGCTTCGTCGACGTCGTGGAGAAGAAGTACAAGGTCCCTGTTGGCACATGGCCGAGGGATCCGAAGATGAAGGAGTTGGGCCAGTGGAACTTGCTCTTTTGTCTTGAGGGGCTGGAGAGCTGGAGTTTGTATCTACTGAGTATGATTTTGAAGGTACGTGATGTCCGAAATGTTGGGAGGAAGATGTTATCATGGGACGGTGGACTAATGAGAAGCAGTGGTCGTACGAGGAGATTCAGGTGCATATTGCGACGATGCGCAACCACCTTTTGAATCGGAGGAATCACGCTTATTATGATATGTACATCCTGCCCTTGTAGCTCTCCCTCTATGCTGCGGACTCGCTAACGTGGAGCAGCAATGTTGTCTATGGACGTAAACCGGGGGAGCCGTAAGATACGACTGACGATTGAAGCCAAGTAATTGCTTCATGAACAGTGGCCGGATGTCGCGCAAATTCAGCTGTCTGATGTTTTGGTGTTTGACAATCGTTGCGCGACTCCGATTAGTTTCCCAGCTACGTTATCGCTTGTGATCATTCAGCATTCTGTAGGCTAGTAATGACAAAGACAAGTGGGCAGTGCCCAATTTGTGGCTTGCGTCAGAAATTGGAAAGATCACACGTGTCAGCCGAGTAGCAGCCATATCGGCTCTAGCTCTTGGCAAAATACGGCATGAAGGGAATTTACTACCTAGATAAGTGCGACCTCACAACTAGCTACATCCCACTCTGAAGATAATTCATTCACACACACGTCTAATCTTTTCTGTAATAAGATGATATTGATATGATGGACGTGCTGGTGATAAGACGCAGGTACAACGCTGTTGAGTTACACTATATTGTATTGCAGTGGAAGTGTGTTTCCAAACACCCACTTAGCTTCGATATATGCAGCTGTATATAGTAATAAGATGCTATATCTACAACAAAGGTTTAGTTCAGTACTATCAATATAATAGGATCGCGATCGTCTAATTGTTCCTGATCCTAGCGGTTAACGACTGGTTACCCAGACATTGTGAAAAGCGGCGTAGCCAAACATGCATATTTGTCGGCGCTACGCTGTTGAGTCTGACGAATGGAGTTCCGGAGACCTATAAATAATTCAAGATGGATCTGCGGGTGATGCAGTGTTTATTGAGTGTGAAGCGGCGTCGCTTTGACTTAAAGACCTCACTACCTGTTTATCGGCTCGACCTCCCGCACATTTGACAGAAGATATGGCGGTGGTTCCACGCAGAAAAATTACATTGCAACGCATTGCAAGCACAGATTCACTCCACACGCTGCTGCAAACCTTTGATGGGTTGCCGAATAATCCCGCGTCCCTCTACCTCTCCAACACTTCTCACGACCTCATCATCTACGTTGCGCCAACGCGCGTAGTCAATTCAGTCAATGTCTCTTACTTGAGCAAGGCGCTCTCCAATCAGGAGAAGGGTGCATCTGCATTGAAAAGTTTCCTCGAGACAGGTGCTGCATCCCTAGTATTCTTCGACGCGCGCAAGACAGCGAAGATTATGTTCGAGAAATGCGACATCAGGCTATCCAACCCAGTTTGTTCAATCCACCGTAACATCGAGGTATATGCTGAGATCTCTAGCCTTGTACGGAACGAGCCCGCATTCACGAAGTACAGATGATAGAGCTTGCAGTGCGTGAGGGTTACAATGGCCGCGAATGGCTAGCGAGCCTTGACAAGTGTATCGCCCGGGACTCAGATCTTGATGTTACTGCGCTTATACCAGACGATTGGATTGGCATCAACCAGTTCGACAACAGAATCCTGCATCTACCAGTTTTGTGGAAGAAATACCATGACCAGTTACATGCAGGCCGTAACGGGTTTGCCGGGGGGGGCTTTTGGGCAGCTAAGATCCGGACGGATACCCGATTGCGACTAGCCGTGTCGTGTGGTGAAACCCACTATGGGTACAGTGCCGACGGTGCTAACAGCGGTTGGTACAGGGAAGGTGTAGAAGCGGAGATTGAGGCCTGGAACGACGACGTTGATGATGATGATATACGCCTTGGCGGCAGATTCTTGGGTGCGGAACACTGGGCCAAGTTTAATCTGTTGTGAGATTGGCTGCATATATTAGGATAGAGCCGGATTGGACCGTTGAAGAACTTCAATCAATGGTCTGCAAGGCTGTTGAATCAAGATAGTTGGTTGACCGACACCATCATGTGAGGAAAGAAAGAGACATGATGATTGCCGGCGGAATCTGCGATGGAGTCGTCTGCTTCGTTCCATTCGGGGCAACCCGCACCCGAACATTCCTAGAGCTTTGCGGGATTGTTTGCAGCGTCTTCCATCGTCACTCGGGTTTCTCCATCGTAGATTCGCAACGCTTCACGTGCTTCTGCAGCCTCATCCAACAGCAACTTCTTAATCGCGTCTGAGCGTGGTAAGAAGCGCACTCGAAAAGGCTCCGGTCGCATATTCTCACTGTTGGTGTAGGCGAATATGTCCAGCTTAACTTCGTTTTGCTGATATAATTTGTAAGCAAAACAGACGTCTACGTGAAGGGGAAGTGCTTTTGGCAAGACCTACATGCTCGTCAAGACCTGGTAGGATATTGAAAGCCCACATCGTTCGCGCAAGGGAGTAGAGAAGACCTTGTTCGGCAAGCGGCTGGCCGCTACACTGTCTACGTCCCCAACCGAAAGGATTCATTCCATACTTGTTCGGGTACGGCTGTTTCGCACTGCCTTCGCCCTCGAGAAATCTCTCTGGCATGAACCTGTCTGGATCGGGAAAGTCGCGTGGATGCCTGTGGATAGCCCACATGTTACCAGTAAAGTTGGTGCCAGCGGGGAAGTGGTAGCCCTGGTAATCGAAATCGACGGTATTAGCATGAGGAATGCCAGCTAGTATAGTTACAGTCCTCCATCGGAGCACTTCTTTGACCTGTCTAGTTTTAGGCATGAAATCGAAATATGTTTCGCCTGCAACGTACCACGGCAGTCATGTATGGAAGCGCATTCGAGTCGATGTCCTCCCAGCTTGGAGAGCGATCAGTCCCAATGATTCCATCAAACTCAGCGTGAACTTTCTTTTGCACTTCTGGAAAGCGTGCCATTGCCAAGATGCACGACATCATGGTGCTGCTGGTTGTATCTACTCCACCACCAATCAGGTTGCCCATGAGGCTTGCGACCTCCACATCCGTCATTTCGCTGCCTTGCTGAGAGGCCATGACGTGCTTCCCAAAGTTGTGTTCTTTCGCCTCAGCGCCTTCTTGTGTTAGTAAGTAGAAGTAGCGTGACATAACGCTAGCACCCAGTCGCATCTGACTTGGCAATGCGTACAACCAAGCAGGCAAGTGCATCAGGAACGGAACTGCTTCCATGAGATAGATACCAGGGACGATGAAATCGACGGCTTCCATCAGCTTGAGAGCTTGTTGAGCGACATAGTCGTTCTTGCGGTCGACACGCCGACCCCAGCCTACAATTGAGGTAACGGATACAGAGTACCGCTCGATGGAGAGCTCGAAGTCTTGTGGCTCAAGAAGGAAGTCGCGGACTAGGATAGCAGACTCGTGCGCCTGGAAAGTACGATATTTACGTACGGCTTGAGAGCCAACAGCCATGTGCTATGCTATCAGCTCGCAATACGGCGGATGTAAACAAGCCGAAGTGACATACCATGAGCTTTCGATGTTTCCTCCATCGATCACCATATACTAACGTAGTTTGATTTGTATGGGTAGCGTTGATCGCATCGCCCATAGCAATCAATCTCGGCCTGCTCGAGAAGATATCTGACCTCTTCTCCAGCAAGTCGCTCGCGACCCACGCATCGCTCAATATGATGCGCGGATGCCGTCCGATCCAGAGTGTGATCATAGGTGAATTGTAGTGTTGAGCCCATTTCTCCCACGTAATCCATGGCTTGTGCGAAGGTGTATGGAAGTGGTTTCCAAAGATAGGTAATGGAAACGGTCCTGGAGGGAGGTATCGGCGCCGCCATAGCATATAGACATAGTCTATGGTCAAGGCAAAGAACGCAAGAACAGCAATAACTTGAAGCATGGTTCTCAATCAAAAACTAATTGCCTGTTGTGCGTGTAGTATGCCCACAAAAGTTTTGAATGAATGTAACTTATAGCTGAGAAAGGCAGACGACGCAGTTGGTCGACCCGGCCATGAGTTGTGCTGAGGAGCTGGACACTATCCCAATGAGACCAACAGCCTTGCAGTATCTATGCATAATCTCCAACGCAGGTTGGGAAATCTTGTCTCCATGTAAGGGTGCGGGGTAGCGACTTTATGGACTTGCGGGGTTGTGGGTATGTGGAGTCGGACCGACTGGCTTGGAGATAGGCTGGTGGGATACCCAGTGCTCCCCCATCAATGGGCATCATTATGCATTCGTTGTATCGCGTTTGCAGATAACTACTTTGTCTGCTTCCTATAGCTCCTCGAGCAGTTTCCTTCATACTGCGGTTAACAATACTCACAGCAAGGATCCAGCGATACCTAGGTATGTGCACTCTCAGTCATTCATTGCCGTGCCTTCACGTCGGTCACATCAAGGGCAATATTGTGATACTTCAAAACATGAAAACTTTCAACTAACTACTGCTACGTCTATCAGTTCTAAACAGACCGGATCCACTGACATGACGATACATTGTACATTGTCTTGAGCGAAGACGGTCGTGTCGCAGCCAAGAGCAAGCGTTATCTCGGGGCAACTTGTTCCAACGGGCTTTAGCAAGACATTCTTTCGCAGTAAGCTCTGGGCCAACAATTTCTCGTGTGCATCCGTCACTGGTCATATATTTACGCCGGTGAAGCCACCAGACGTTGTGTAGACGTCAGTGATGATTCAGGTAAGTATGACGAACAATTGCAAGACTTCTTAGCTCTTCCAAAAGAACAAGACATACGCCGTTGATCTCCTGAGTATTGTACTAATCGGCCGACCTCATCAAGCGTGCTTATGCCCGGCTTCCAAACACTCCAGAAAGACCAGGATCTTTCACCTCGTACATGAACCAGCCGGCGACAGGTTGCAGTGTATCTAGTCCAGTATCTTTGCCCACTACTGGTGCTACATCTACAAACTCTGAAGGCCCAAACATCGCTTTCTTCACCCAGGCCTTGTGGCCTTGGCTGGTGTCCAGCTTTCCTCCACTGCTAGATGCCGCCATACCGAGTAGTCCGGCAACCATTTTGGTCTTGTACTCGCGCGCACCATCATCGACCACGACCGGTACAGACATATGAGCGCTAGGTATGTCTGATATGTCAACCCGATGGTACAACGTACCATCAAGGTTACAAGCATCCCTGGTTGCGCGGTGCAGCATTCTACCTTCGCCGTTCCAGAAGCAAAAGGCTGTGATCCATCCCGAGAGATAAGACGGGCCTGAGCTATTGCTCTCTTTGTCTGCAATCTTTGTCCAGAAGTCTACAACTCTGTGATTATCAGCATCCTCAAATGTAGCAATGAAGTAATCGAGGATGGGAGATAGTAGAGCGGCAAATTGTCTAGGTTCCTTGCCGAATTCAGGTAGCTTGTTAAGGCGCTGGCGTAAGTCAACCCAGTCAGCCTTTTCCCCTAAAAGAGTAACGGAAGGGATTCCGCATGTCAAACTCATGCGATAACTGAAGTACTTTTGCATCGCACCCATCATGATGATGGCAGCGGTCTCGGTATCTGTTCGAGTGGTAGTGGTGAAGCTTGGCATGATCCAGTCACGAAGCCCTGGATCAACAAGATATTGGTCCATTGCTTCAGTAAGCCATATCGCCAGTTTTCCGGCATCAAAAGTTTCGATACTGCCAGAGTCAATCACAACAAGTTCTTCTTTACCTGCATGGCTGACGAAGGACGATCGAAGTTCCTCAGCGTGAGCATTGATGTAGAAGGTTATCTGGGTCAGGATGGTGAACCAAACATCTTCAGGTCGGATCTTGAGGTGATGGTGGTGGCTGTAGGCTTCGTAAGCTGCCATAACAAGGCCATTCGATGAAGGGATGATGTTGAGACGAGTGAAGTCAGTGGTTGGAGGCCGGATCATTCGCTTGCACCGTGCGGCTTCTCTAGGACAAGACGCATTGAATAGTACCTCAGCAGAGTTCACGGCTTTGGGAATCAGCCTCCGTGCCGGGTGGCTAGCAGGACGCACGGTGACCGGCATTGCAATGGCCTCCAAATCAACGAAAAGGTGGTCGTAAGCAAAGTGTGGTGATAGGTCGGTACTGTAAGTTCAATGGAAGTGATAGTGGTGATGGGATCGAGATGCAAGATAGATGGTACCATCGTCACCAAGATAAATACCCCGTAAAAGCAGCAAGCTCTTCAAGGCACCTGCCTCGTCGAAGCAGCCTGGTAATCTAGGTGGCTGCCTTACCTCAGGTTACTATGATTGGCGCGGCACGAACAGCCGCTGAGCCTTTCTCAGGATTTTGATTGGCGGAAGCGGCCCAGCCACAGGGGCCAAAACGAATATAAGGCGTCCCATTAGCTTGGCACAGCTGACCTTGGCTCTTCCACGCTGACCAAGGAACAAAGCTTTCGTCGCCTCTATGCAAATCTCAGCATCCGTACAGAATGTGGAGGCACTGGACTACAAATGCCATGTTTAAGGCTGTATATCGGAGACCGCGAACCCGCATCAGACATCACGGCGGTAGGATCGCTGCGCCAGCTAGATGTACACATGCGCGCATACGGCGGGGGTTATATGCGTCTTCATGTAGGCATGTTTGTCTAACGCGATGCGCGACTGAATTGAACGGTGCAAGTCAATTGAGGACGTATTTGTGTGCGAAAGCGAGGCTGGATGGAACGATTTAATGTCTGGGACTAGGCAGAGGCAGTTACACACGGCAGGAACGGGTCAGTTGTTTACAGTGGCATCGCTGGTGAGCGTCTAAGCTACGATTATATGCAAGCTTCTGCTATACAACGAGCTGCTGCGCAGATTCGATGGCGACATGCAATAGAGCGCTGCTGCCGTGAAAGGGGATGTCTTGGATGGTTCCCAAAGCGAAGGTCGCGGCTGAACAATCTCTACAGTGATCATGGCAGTCGACAGTCATCTGGTAGCAGTAGCAAGGCTTCAAACATATTCTGTCGTCGCATCGTGTGATTTTGGACAACCCCAAAAGCGATGGACAAAGGGATGCGCTTTTCTTCAGTGTTCGCTTGCAGCATTTCGCGACCCTGTTCTCGATCGCTTGGCAGTGTGGTATAGCCTTCGCGTACCTGCCCAGCCAGGATTAACGTGTTTCACACAGATTAAGGCACTCTCCAAGTGATCCTGTACGGCAGAATAGCTGGCATTAGACAGCCTGCAAATTTCTAGCTTCTATGACCCCTTTAATCCATGCCATCTCACAAACATACCTCGTGCCCTGGCTCGTAGTGGATTGTTTTGCGCTGTTTTCCTATACGTACTAGATTGATCTTACTGCATCGCCACTAGTAATACTGATGCATAGTCAAAGGTGTGCTAGCAAACTCACTTTCCCTGCTGATTACTGACCTCACAATCTTAGACACGATGACCGAGAGGCCAATCTGACTGACGACGACACTCGACCCGCCAAAAGCGAGTACAACGGACAACCGCAGGTCTCGATCAGTCAGGACTTCCTCAAATATTGGAAGCTGCAGTTTCTCGCCCCAATCCGGTCATGGAGATCTTCTGCGGAATGTCGCAAGACTGCGATGCATCAGAGTCGTTGCTTAGCTACTGGCCACGCTTTACTACATCTGGTTCCCCTGAGCAGCGCAATTGCGGTATTGGTACTCAACTGGAGTGAATATTTTGTCGGGCCCTCTTTCACACTGTCTACCACGCTACAATTTATCGCCAAACTACAAGAACTTCTAATGCAGGCATCACTTGCCGAGATCGCCTTAAGCATCGTTCGTTCACAGATGATGGAAGGATATCTGCCCTTAGGTGCTCTGGCAGCATCCACACAGGCAATGCACCTATCTTACCTCTGGTCAATCGATCTGCTGGCTACAGTAACATCTCAGTCCTTCCGCGGGCGGCGTAAAGCGCTGTTCGTTTGTCTGGTTCCTCTATCAGTCCTTCTGACAGCTCTGGTTGGGCCGTCGAGCGCTGTTCTAATGATTCCAAGGGCAGGAGTGTCAAGCAGACCAATTGTTATACATTGGAAATCCGTGAACGATGAGAAGACTATGTTTCCGTCTCGTCTAGATAAAACGCAGAACCTGACATTGTAAGCGAAACACACCGCGGCGCATCATGACCTTCGTTGACAAGGTATAGCAATTTGAATCGGTTCAACACAACTTACGGCTTTGCGGAGGAGCTTCAGACAGAATTTACCAACACCCAAGTCTATTACAATAGAAACGAAACGATGGAACAGTTAACCTCACGAGCTTTGCACTATATCACGACCGAGAACGAGATATCGAGCCGCCATGGCGATTTCCTGGTTAGCTCCGCAAAAGCCACGATTCCAACTCAGCTCAGTGCACAGGTCCTGTATCAGATTCCTCTTGACATGAACGGCGGTACTTGGAACTCTGGAGTCGATTACACAAGATCTGTCAAGTTACCACGTGTTACAGTCACAGCGCATTGCTTGACTACATACAACACACGGAACACGACAGTGGACACGCCAGTTGCCTACGCTCTCGACGGCGGTACTTCTATTGGCATAATTTCTGATCTCAAGGCCCTACTTCAGCACCTCCTCGACCACGGTATCTCTCAAGATACACTAGTCAACGCTATGCCGCCTATCTGGGTTGCTTCGCCTGAACCTGGCTCCTCCTCATTTACTGGCAGTTTTATCCAGAGCAACTGCGATGGCCTCGAGCAATTCACGATTTCGGATCTACTGCTCAACAAATTCAATGAATCTGTGCTGTTGTCAAGTTCTTGTTTGTCTATGAAGACTTGTACAGTAGCGGCTTTCTGGGAGCCGTCCCAACACGAACTTGCTACCGACAGCGGCTCATGGGTGGTCCATACGGGTTCGCTTTCGAGCCTGAGCAATGGCTTACCCGAAGAAACACGGTCGATCCATGCAGATCTCAACAGCATCACTGGCCTGAGCACCCCTTCATTTGGTGCCATGTTATCTAAAACTTCACGAGGTGACAGCACCAGGCTAGCCGCCGCGCTGGCTACCGTCTTCGCCGAGGTCCCTTGGAAAGAACAAATACAAAGCGCGTCCTGGGAAAAGCATTATACGGTGATTAAAATTGCCTTGACGCGTTTTGGCTACGGATACGAGACATCTTCCGTATCTGCACGCTTATCGCTAACAGTCATCATGGCGTACTGCATACTTGCTGTCGGATACATAACGTACATGCTCAGTAGCGGCCACACATCTACAGCATGGAGTTCGGCAACTGAGATCATTGTTCTTGCAATGCAGTCCAAGCGCAGTGAGCATTTGCGCCACGTTTCGGCTGGCGTCAACTGTTTAGCAACATACCAGGAGCCTGTGGGGATACGAGTCAATGATCGCGATCATTTGGAACTAGTGTTCGAGCATGATCAAGGTAATCAGTCGCGAAGTCTAAGAAGGGCTAGGCTGAACAAGGCGTATTGATCTGCAAATGCCCTGAACGCTGTAGCCAACAATACTGAACGCGATGTGTAGACTGAAACAACGATGAGTCAGGAATTACTATCGTATCGTCTTGTGAGTCGACTTGCTTGGTAATCCAGCTAGATCGTATCTGATTATCCCCTATGTAAGATGACTCTGAACGAAATGCATGATAAGCTTTCGAGCCTGCTGTCCTTCCCAGTGCGGAAGCAATGGATAGACATGAATCATATGAGCTTGCTCGACATAAACAAATCGCTCGAGCTGGACGCTCCCAGAGACACACTGATCGCTGTCATAGCCCTGAAACCGAGCATTCAGTCGTCTTGCGTCAGAGTTCAAAATGTCGTCCGTGCCAGAGAGAAGGAGAAGCGGCGGAAGTCGCGCAATATCGACATGGAGCGGACTGACTAGAGGATCTGAGGTAGTTGTGCCAGCTGACCACAGCGGCGTGATGACTTGCAGGCCATCGATGCCGAGCCACGGATCCACGCTGTCTAGCTTCTGAGCTTCTGGATGGCGGAAGGTCACGTCGAGGACAGGTGAGATCAACACAACAGATTGGACCTTCTTCGCGTGATCTGGCGCAACGTCGAACATGTGGTGCATCGTAGCTAATGCCAACGCCCCTCCCGCTGAATCACCAGTGATATTGACAATGTCTTGCTTGATCTGGCAGCAAATGTCTACCAAACCAGGAACCACCTGTTTTGCTGTAGCGGCCGGTCTTGGTATCAGGGGGTATACGGGTACGAAAACGTCCAGTCCAGTCTCACGTGCGACCTGAAAGATGAATTTCCAGTGATTCGGGTCAATCTCGCGATAGAATGCCCCTCCATGGATGTAGAGCATAGCACGTTGTGGTTCTGACAGATCGTTCGTCCCTAGGGGGCGTCGTAACGAAACTCGGTACAGTGGCCAGTCGTTGACATCGTCCCGATCCACGTCGATATTGTGCCCGTGATCTGCAGGTGGGCAGAAGCTTTGAGGGTTGATATAGACATCGTGTATGTTTTTGCGCATGCTCTGTGCATCTCCAAAGATCTGTTTAGAACGTCGTATGTACTTGATGTAAAGTCGAACTGCTAGGGCAGACCAGGAGGCCATGATGAATATGAAAGAGAAGGAAACGTGACGGTGCCGTGATTCCTAGATGTGTAGTCCCACCTTCCAGAGATAGATATATGTACGATTCTTTTAACTACGTTGGAGGAATACCGGGATTCATGCTTAAGTATCCGCGTATGCGTGGTCTAAAGACGGCTAGGAAGACCAGTTGCGTCGATCAACACTCGGTTTCACGTGTCAAAGTGGCATTTCAGCCAATTACGTGATACCTCGGTTTGGCTCATCGTTGGATTCGGGATACAAGCTAAAGTCAGGCTAAAGTAGCGGACGATCAGACCTATGGAATCGACGAGTAGAATTGGTAGCAGCTCAGCCTACGGTATTAGTCCTGAGCACATGAATGCTTGTTGTGTCGGGTACATTGGGGATTTTGGCTGATGTGCGGTACAAGGACTGACTTTGCGAGCCGTTGTCGTCTCAGGTCACAACGTCATGCGACTATCTGGGAATGGTCATCTACTACAAAGTAGTATGGTGTACTTCGGTTAAGGTCTCTAGATACTACATGGTTCTTGCCCATAATGCTCGCGTTGGATTATCGCAATGTGGCGTCTGGTATAGGCAGTGTGTATAGCACGACGTGCACCTCAATTACATACTGTAGTGGGCGAACAAGCATCTGGTGCCAAAGCGAAGGATAGTGGTGATGCAGAAAACGATGTTGGAGATCAGGTTGGCTGCATCATATCTGCCCCGGCTGCACTGACCTTACTAAACCGCGTATTGAGCACGTGATAGCGCGTCATGCTGAGCGCGTCATAGCCCGCATCTCAGACTATTACAAGCGATACTGCGAGAGCCCTGCGTCAACGACACTTGGCGACGAAAAAGAGTGCAAACAGAACTGTTGGCAGAGCGCATGATTGTTAGTGTTGGCTAAGGTCATTGTCCTCGAGAGCGATGTGCGCCTGTGCCACTTGTCAAGATACACGCCAAGCAGAACTCCCCGCGGTTCGTTCACGCGGCGCAGAGCCGCACCATCTGCAATATTATTGCCAATCGCCAATATGCCGCCTTCTCTCATCCATCTCGCGAGAAGCTTCTCGACAACTCATTGCGCATCAGCCCTCTGGCACGAAGCTCGACCTGATTGCTGCAGCGCAGCCCGTGCAAGTCGAGGGACGGCGTTCTGGGCCAAGGTGGTGACAGATGGATGTGAAGGCGCAGGTTAAGGATATTGAAACTGGTAGGAGCGAGCTAGAGGATCATCCGAAGCTCTTCATCGTCCACCAGGGCGACTGACGCGGTTGTCTGGGCAGAACAGAGATGCGGATGCTCCAGCGAGTGATGCAAGTCCACTAACACTACACCCAGATCTCCCGGCCCGACTGCCGAGTAGAACTCTTGCTGGAAGCAACAAAGCCTGATGCGCTTCACGAGTCAAGCACGGTGTCCGTTCTTTGTCTGCTTCAACCACGCAGGAAACCATGTTGTGGTTCCCGGTCCGCCTCCAATCCGGCTTCAACGTTCGCATCATCCTTCGTCATATACACGTCCACGTCTCCTCCTTCCTTGACGAAGATGTCACGCATGACAGAAGGAGCGACGGGCCCGAATCATACAAGCAGAGACGGGAAGACACTCGCCTTGGGTCATCGGGTTAGAGAGCAAGTGGCATGCATACAGACGATCAGATGTATAAGGCGATGGAAACAGTCTCTTTACGCTAAGTAGGTGCGGTAGCAGCTAAAAGTCCAGAAAAAGTCAGTCGCGAATGGAAACACCGCGGATGCTCGAGGATGCGGTCGTCATGTCCAGCCAGTACCCCATTGGGGCACCTGGCTTGCTTGGTACCTGAGGAGGGAAGATGGTCTTCAGTTGGAGGTCTTCGCTATTCATTGACCTTATCTTTGGCCTCACGTCGATGTGCAGTGCCATTAATCTCTGCTATAGAACGACAACACAAGCATAACTGTGAGAGTGTGAACGGGATAGCATCCTGCGTCTTTCACTATGTGAGGGGTAAGGGAGCGGTCTGGTGGCACTGAGCCCGAGACACTCAAAATGTCATTCACGTAGTACTGCTGCTGGAGGTTCCGGTTCGCGACATTGTGAGGTGAAGGCAAACGCCTCTAAACCCGACTTCTACGTGGCTGACCATTTATCTCGAGCGTTCTACTCTCACTCTTTGTATACTTTGCAACCGCGATACATCTATCACGCACGACGGCTAAAACATTTACCGCATCCATTCAATTGTCACTTGAGCATCTGTTAGCCTTCCATCTCTTCGCCACGTAGATATGTCGCCCAACATTCGGCCAAACACCCACTCACCAAAGCGAGCAACTACAAGGATGGAAGGGAAGACTATTGCCAACTGCAATCCCACATTCACGAAGCCAACTGCGACTACCGACATGAAAGAGTGGACAAGACTTCGCTGGTTCGGCTTGGTCACCAAGCTCATGGTTCTGAAACAGTCGGTAAAGATTTGTTCACAGAAGGTCGGGCGTCCTTTACCGAGAAGCAAATCTTGAGATCTATATCGGTGATGATGATCAATCATCCGAAACTGATGAGGGCATCTAAAACGACATGACCGAACTCAAAGACGTGAGAATGGATGTAAGGATACTGTCAATCTTCAGGGTTGAGTAAGCACTAAGGCGAGACAGGGCTGCGATATTTCTGCTTAGGCACGTACCTCTGGCAGTGCGGATTTCGATTCGGATGATTGGGAATCAGGACACGGTTTGAGCAATTATATTCCTTAACGCCAGATAGGAAGATGACAGTGATGGCCTACCAGGGTTAGGTGCAACTCTGTGGGCTTGACTTTGACTAGGAAGATTGTATGATTAGTAACTCAATGGAATGACCTTTGCGCGTCCCGGTTCTAGCGATCTCATGGCATGCGACGGGAAAATGTGAGGATGAAGGCGAAATGATATCTTGTGCGCAGACTGCAGTTGGGAATGGGTGCGCTAAGTTAAAAAGGCGTGGCGATTTGTCGGAATGTCAAGAATCGCGACCCCGCACCTCATCGCCAGGATCCGCTGTTGCCTGGCATTGCGCCATCAATATCAACACTAGACGTTAGTCCCACCAATGGAGCTATCCTCCGAGTAAGTTTCGCACTGCACTGCCCGTGTCATGTCTCCGTTTCGAGTTTGTTGCCGTACTGCGCGTTCCTTCGCGTTAATCGGGAAATTTCGCGAAAGTATCACGCTATCATGCCTGATCGCCCATAGATGTAGCGTTCTCCCCAGACGAGTCGCTCGTTATCATACTCACTCCACAGCCGGTATACCAACCGTCTCAATTGATGCATAGTCATGTCCCTACCCGACGAAATTTACCTGGAAACCTTCTCTTATCTACCACAGCACGATCTACGTCCAGTGCTGCAAACATGCCGCACTTTTGCAAGACTTGTGAAGCCGCTCGTGTTCAAAGCGCTTCATCTGGATGGTAACGCTCAAAGGGGGACGATGATGGCCGAATGGAATCCAGGAGCTATCCGGAGCCATCAGGTTCTTCATCCAGGCCGTTCATGAACCACAGAATTGGCTTCTTTGAAGGATACAGTGGAGGAGCTCATCGCATTAGACATTTTGCGACATGTGCGCGAGCTAAAGTTCAGTCCGAGATACTATGTGGACGGCAGGTTCATTCCCTCATGAGCAACGATGCAAACACTAATATTGCATTTAGGGTTCTGGTCGAGCTTTCGCCAATGGCTCCAGAGATTAGACGTCCAGGAAGACTTCCGTAAAACGTTTGAAGTGAGTGGTACTGAAAGCGATGATGGAGAATGTTTCAGGGCTCGTCGCCTCGGTTTAGCACCACTTGCCATACCTGAGGTGCAACAGGAGTTGATCGCAAAGGCAGAATCCGTATGGACAGAAAAGGTGACTCAGCAGCGTGAGAACGCCGGAGAGAATCTAGCGGCTTTGGTCAAGCTGTTTATGCATATGCCAAGTCTAAAAGGCATCGAAATTAGGGAGTGGAGCTTCAATCTGGGCGAGTATGGTTTCCCAGGCTCTGGAGAGAGGATACGCAGCTTTCTGGTCTTCAACGAGGTCGAGACATTTAGCCGCGAGTTGGGCGAACAGTTTGGCGGCTGTAGCACGACATGGAAGTACATTGAACTGCTAAGCTCCGCAGTGCAACTGGCGAAGATCCATATTGCAAGTCTATCTATTCCCAAGATTGACTTGTTCACCCTTACAACAAATGACGCTCTGGAGAATCTCTTCAGCCCCTTGACCGGTCTCTCTTTTAACGTTGAGAGTGCTCGTCTGGTGCGAGACTCTGTTGAAAACAACGACACATCACCCTTTGCCGCATTGCTTCGTCGCGCATCGCAGACCCTAGAGGACCTAGAATGCAAGGTCACCACGTGGTATTTTGACATACCAAACCACGAAAACCCCCTCCTCAACAGGCTATTCGGTGGATCTTGTGGCTCGGGTCCAACAGACACGACCCCATTAGTTTTCCCAGCGTTGAAGGCGTTGAAGCTTCAAAATGTTGAAGTCGACGCGGCATACCTGATCGACTCTGTCTCTCAGCAGCCGAAACTACAGTACGCACACTTTGAATTGGTTGATCTAACCTCCGAAGGTTACTTGTGGAGTGATGTCGCTGAACACCTACCACCATCGTGCAAGAAACTCTATATCGTCAATTGTGGGCACGGCACGTTTGCCCCAAATGAGCCCGTTGTCGGTGGCAAGGGCAAAGCATTCTTTCCCTACGAAGAAGGTTTCCCAGCTACATCTGATTGGACAGTGGATGAGTCTTTCCTTGAACAAGAGATGGATGACCATCTGGGGTCAGGGTCGCCAGGCCCAGCCCCTGGATCGGGCGGACGGTATGCGTATGGGACTGCGGCGAGGGAGGAAATGAGGGCCCAGTATATAACGTGTTACCAGTGCGCGGTGTTTCGGAGATCTTGAATTAGCCAGGAAATATGCAGCGCTGGATAGCTAAGGGACGTATCAGGTCGTTATGCAGCTCATACAGGAAGATCGTCAGCGGTATTCTAGAAGCCGCAAAACTACCCAAAATCTTCGGCATGTGCAGACTGACTACTATCCGGCGGACTTCCTCTCACTACAAGTTACAAGACCTTCACCTTGTCTGCCATACACGTCGCTGTCTCCATGTTTCACTTTGTCTCCTATCAACAGGTTCGTGCTTGCGTCAAGGCTACCCTGAAATTGAGGTACGCCAGATTGGTTTCTATGGTATCGACAGATATGCTCTTCAAACCGGACGAGAAAAATCTTATAGAGGCAACAGCACATTTGCACGCTTCAATCCTGCACAGTAAGAATTAATATACAACAGGCCATCAGTGGGACCAAAAGCAAGTATAGAACAATGGCAGTAGTACTGCTTGTCCGGAAGCACTCTGTAGCCGAATGCAAGATCACGAGCTAGGACAATTTAGACCAAGGCTCGTACCTATTATGAGGACGGGCGACAAACTCCGACCCGAAAGCGGTCCACACCTCGCTGATAGTACTTGAGACTGCAGGTGTGGGCAACATGTTCAAGGACACCGAGTGCAGCCTCACTGAGTGCATAAACCCGCTTACTATCGCACACCGATGACTCCAAATCGACATAAAGGATAGAAAGAATTGCCGCGTGAGTATTTAGTTTCCATAGACCTTGAAGGTATGGTCGAAAGAATAAACCCTCCGGAGTAAGCTCTTAGATTGGCGAACTACTATTAGCAGTTGAAATTACGGAATCATTGTTGCTGTCATTCTATCTCGTAGGTAGATATGTGCTTCCCTATAAGCTTCTCCTTGAAAGTGCGATTGGACGCATCGACACGGAATATGCCAACCCGTTGCCACCTACGACCGCTCTCCTTCAGCTCCAATATCATTACAAAACATGACTTGAGAACGGCGCCAATATATACAAATTGCCACCTTGAGGCGTCTTTGAATATCTCTGCCAGCTCAGTGTCGGCACGGTCGTCACGAGACCATGATAGTTTTGCTTCATGACCGGCTATGCGCCACGGCTTACTCCACGGCTTACTCACCTTCTCTGCACCTCTATAGGCGTTCGGACCCAGTGAGAACGCTGTTGCGGTGATTCTCAAGACAGCATGGCTTCTATGCTCACCCAATTCCTCCAAACTCAACGACCCGTCGGCCATTCCTTTGAACCGTAAGTCATGAAGTGCGTTATCGAACCTAAAATTCTCGCTAAGCGAGACTTTATACTCAATGTGACCCTCCCAACCTGCCCATGTCCACGAGGGGAACAAGTTCCGACGGCGAACTTTATTCCTCTCTCGGTGCATCCAAGCTAGCGAATGAACAAATATACCCAAGCTTCTGGGGCCGTTCGAAGGATAAGCCAAGCCCCAGACATGATTGAAAGCATATCGTTCTTGCGAAAACTGTTTGATGACGCCTTGGAAGGCATTGAGTGAATCCCCATCGAAGCGAAGATTTCTGCTGGTGTAATTTTCCACGTTGGACAGGTATCGACGAAAACTTGCGTTTAAGCTCTCCTTATCGCGGACAAGCTTCCCATAGTGCTCGTATTTGGTCTGCCCAAAGATACCAGTGCGGATGGTTTCACGAGTTTTGGATTTGTTCTTTACATGTATCTCGTCCAGCGCACAATGATTGCTCTCAAAGCAGTTCATGGTGTTACATTGGAAGTATACTTGGTCTTCAGTGAAGACAAGTCTACGGCGGCTCAGGAGAGCTTCTTGGAACGTCCAACCACGGGTAGACCAGTGAGATTGTGAAATTGCTTTGTGGGGGTCGATCGGTTCCGAGATCACTGTCGCGCCGTCGAGTTGAGCGAGAAATTGGTGTCGGCGATCTCTCGCACCGACGCCTGGAAGACCATATGACTCATCCTGGCCGGCAGCGCTGATGATGGTAAGTTGCGAGTTCTTGTAGATCGCATCCATCTGTTGTATTTGATCGTGTTTGAGCTCCGCGGCGTCTTGATCTATACAAAATTTGTCAATCCAGAGATATCGATGTCCCAAAGCTTTGGTCACTTGGATTGAATCCTTTATCACTGGCGGTAGTAGCTGGGGCAGAGTCTTTCGCCCTTCAATAGTCTCGATAGGTCCACAAATGTCTTTCGATGTGCCCCAAACGTAGCTCAAGCTGACATAAGGTGTGTTCGCGTTGTAGTCCTCGATTTGTAATGTAGTGCAATCGATGACTTTGACGCCATTTACCGGTGATATTTCAGAATGGCAGAGCAGCCGATGGTGTTGTGTGCAATAATTCAGCCACGAAAGTACAAGGCTAGGATCGAATGACGGAGATACGGGTTGCGGGTAGAAGACTGTAGGATCAGTGGAGCTATCAATTAGGATCAAACGACCACTAGGGTTGATGCAATCTCGAAAAACGTCACGTCCTGTGTCGCTCCCCTGTGGTACCAACGTGAGACGTATGGCATCTTTTCCTGCTCCCTTATAGTAATGCGTGAAGGCATAGTTATAAAAGGCATGGTTATAAAAATTGACCCGAATCTCATCACCATCGTCTTGAATCTCGGTTTCTTCTGTGCTAGAGTTTGTATCCCGAGTCTTGCGAGACGCAGCAAATGCCCGACACAGCGCGCAGGCGAGTTGTTGTCGTCGATATCGGAAGCCAACCCTCGCCCGCAACAAATTAGGTACCAAAAATTCCCAAGGGGCTCCGTGCTCCTTGTAATATAAAGTACCGGAACTCTGAAATTCTTTGATCATGACATCCAGCTTAAGGCTGCGGCACTCGTCGCAAATATCGTTGCTCTGGGACGGTATGCTGCCATCTTGTACTAGAGTTGGCACACTACTCGGATAAGATGTTCTTTTAGGACTTTTCCTCCAAGCATCGTGTTGCTCATTTGTGCTGTCAAAATCCTGTACCAGATCATGGAGCTTGCGCTTGATTCCATGTTCCCCTTCGCTGCCTTCCATGTGCCGCACATCTCGGGAAACGCAATGGTTGTCGTGTCCATCCTGATCGGTAAAGGGAACGCTGTTGAGATCGAACATCGCATATGTAGGGAGGGCTGGAAAGAGTCCAGGGAAACATGGGCAGAATCGTGACTATTGCGCGAGGAATAGATAGTGGTGAGTCTGTGCAGCGGATATTCTAGAGAAGGGAGGTTGGATTGTTCTCGCGTTTTGTGGTTCAGCCGCACTCCATGCTGGCCTGATCAAGTTGGGCAAGAAGCGGGGCTATGCTGTGGCGGAGCATGCCAACGACCAGAAGGAAAGCAGGGCGCCTCAACAGAGGGGTGTTAATCAGATATTGGTGCCTGGACCGAACCTGATGCGTACTGATCGTAATTCGAGCCATATGGAGAGAGACATTCATCGCTCTCTAGACAAATGTTAATGCGGTTCGCAATGTCAAATCGCGCTATACAGGTATTGTTCGAGACGTGCCAATTCGCGAAGCATGATGTACAAGGCATAGCGCAACGCCAAGCGCCTAGGCCGCGTAAACTGGGGCTAGAGGGTTGGCCCACCCAGCGCTGAACACCAACCTCCTCCCTTCGACCTCCATCTCTATCCATCCGTCTCCATCTCCACAACTTCGACCTCCGTTCGTATCTCTACCTGTCATCCGAATCCCACCATCTTGTACGCATACGCGTACGCGATCGTCTCCAGCCGCCGGCCGTCAGCCGCTGAACCGCCCCTCTCTTACTGCCTGGCGCCTTGCTCCAGTACGCCATCCTCACAGCAAGGCCTCTGACACGTCGGGTCGAATTCGCGATCTACGCGTTTTCGATGCGCGTATCTTCGGGGCGATACTCAAGCAAGGCACAGGCAGTGCGGGAAAGGCGGGCTTAGTGGTCCACGATCTGGCGGGTGTTGCTGCGACAGAGTTAGGGCTGCTCTTTGCGACCGACGCGAAAGCCCGGGTGGGAGGGTTTCTTTTGCCGCTGCATAACGCCTGCTTCGTTGCAAAAGGGTCATGTAGTGTTAAGTAAACGTCTACTGTAGAGGGAACTAATGAACAATGGTCCTTAGTCTCGTTCGCAAGGAAGGCGTGGCCGCATTGGCATATTCTGCAAATGATGTATCTGTGCTGTGGCCGTGTTCTCTAAAGATCCTGCATTCGGACGCGCAGTTCGTGGTGTCGCTCGAACATTCTTATTCAATTCATGGCTTTGACGACAAGCAACTCTTTACCCTTCGCTATGAAGGTGACAATCTTATGCCTGGCAAGACCTCACTTGGAGATGTTGATATTTCCCTCCCAGATGGGTCGTTGCACGACATCGCACGGCATGGGCAACCCCGGCTGCGAACACTGTCGCTGACACTCAAAACACCCTGTTCTGTATGGTGCCCTCACAGTTTTGGCAATGGGATGTCCAGCCTTGAAAATAGTTTCCACAAGCTCTCAACATTGGCCAGGGCGACAGATGTGCGCATTGTGTTCGACACAAATTGGCTTGGGAAGAAAAACCTTGCTAGGCTTCGAAGTGCTGTCGAGGCCTCCCGGCAACTCACTGGAGTTCTGGTCATCCCGCAATTCGCCCGTTTGTATCAGCAGGCAGACTGGTCAATCCTCAGCTCTATTCAGGGTTCCAAATCTGGACCTCATCGTCCCACTGGAGACTGGACGTCCAAAGCTGTACCTTCAATTGAGGACGCGGTAGCTGGAGCCCCTCGTTTCGAAGACGCGATATATGACGCCCCGCCTTCGTATGCGCAAGTGTCAAACAAGCGCTCGAGACATAGTAAGTCTTCTAGTCGGACACAGCACCAACATATTGCTGACGCGCATCGTCTAGCTCGCACTAGCTTGACACCCGACTCTCCTCCACCGAAGCGCCTCCTCCAAGATCCCACATGCGTGCCGTCGCCAACAGAACATGCCTCTTCCGGATCGTCGCCTAGCTCAAAGTCCACACCTTCGTCCACCGCCACCGTGCAAGTGGATATTTTCCAAGACATTGTCACATCCGCTGTCCAGAAAGTGCTTCCGGACATGCTGCGCGAACAACTTCCCAGCATTCTGCAAGACTTTCTTCCAGGCATGTTTGCTGACCCCTCACCGTCGCCTTCTTTGTCGCCGACACCACGGTCCAGCCAGAGCGCGGACACGCTCGCACAACACCATCGAACTTTGAACAAGAAACCCACGCCGGCGGCAGTCATCAGGACTGTTATAAGCACTGCTACCAAGACCCACCTTCAAAAATTCTTGACTGATGCCCTCGATGAAGCCTACGAGCAAGTCTCCGAGCTTCATAACTCAGCTAGCGTTGAATTCGAGGAACACCTTGATGACACGAGGCTTGATTTTGCTATGCTCAAGGAGGATCATATCGCCGCCTTCAATGAAGATTGCAACGAGAAGTTGGTGGAGTTCAAGGAGCGTCTAGTCGAGGGGAAAGATGAGGCAGAAGTGGATGTGAAGGCACACGCTGACGAGGTAGTGGTCAAGGCTTGGGATAGGTTGAACATGATGGATAAGAGGTGGTGTAGTCATCAATGCCCCCACAGTACGAAGGACAAGGGTAGCAAGTTGGGAGAAACGCGGAGGGCGATATCCCTGCCCCCTTGACAGTGGAATGACTACAGATAGCAATGAATTGGACCGGATTTGAGTATTTGATGTATGGTTTATGCTATTTGACCTTCTTATGATCTACAAGTCGCAATATCAAGCACTATACCCTATCGTTAGATTCACCCTTGATCTTGCTCGCCTCTCGTTGAAGGGCAGCTCGTGATGCGCGCGTCTCGCACTGGAATCAGGTCTTGGACAAGACAGAGGTGAACAGGCAAGCGACATACAGGAAGCGAAACCTGCAGTGAGAGTGTATGCGTCGAGCTCTGATGACCAGTTCGCTTGAGACGCCGCCCCGTGATGACTAAAGCCAGCTGATCCAGCTAGCCATCCCCATCTTCTCAAACATGCATTACATATCATCGTGTATAACTACTCTAGCCACGAATGATCACTCTGCGATACCTTGTCGTCTCGCGGACGAGCTTCGGGTTATGATTATCGACTATGTGAGCGCGTAAGACTGGAAACAACTTCGCCGAATGTGCGGACGCCCCAACGAGCTGACCACTTCTCTCTTTATTTGGAGACTGTAGTTCGAGGTTTTTGGACATGGCTGCGAATCTCTAAATGATATCTCCTACAACCCTACACTCTCCGCTTGTTTCCAAACTATGATGCTAGGTAGGGTTAGTGGGCATGGGTTATCTACAACTTCAACACTTGGGCTGCCATCACACATCAACCAGGCGATCCTGGTAACGAGACGGCTTTTCAAAATGATGTGAGCCACTACAACAACAAGCAGTTTAGTGACGGTCTGCTATCATATAACAAAGCGTCTCCTTCTTATTCTTTGACAATGCAACTCACTCTGTATGAGTACCATGTAGACCGCAAGCAAGCACAGAGGGAGGTTTGGGATCTAACGGATACGCTGCGCTTTCAGACGCTTATTGATAAAGAGCGGGCGTTGATTCACCACTATCGGGCCTTTGGCTCTATGGTGACTGACGTTGTTGTGCTGCAGTTTTGTGAGGCGCTGAAGACACTTGAAATTAGAAGTTCTTAAGCACGAACTAGGTTTCCTCTATGACGACAGCTGAGCTTTTCTGTAGCGAGATATGTACTTCTATCTCTTGTTAGTAATACGCGACGTTGATTACAGGGAAGACGAAGATGTTAAAGAGCTCTAATTGTCTATTCTTCTCTATTCGCTTGCCTAGGCAAGACGAGGGAATCACTACATTAGACATTCTATTACGAATATGGTATTAGATGCGTTGTATAAGTGACAATAAAGAAGAGGTGGTAAGAAGTATTAGGAAACGAATATAGAGCAGAACAAGCGCATTAAAGCAAGATCGATAATAGTTTCCTCAAAAGGCAACGCCTACGGCAGCACTAGATCTTCAAAGCACCGTTGTCGAAATACCACTGGCTACAACGCACACCCAATGTCATAAAACTTGTATGACACGCTCGTTGCCGGGCCATCAGCATCGCTAATCCATCGAACCTGAGCGACAGAGGGACCATACAGTTCGCAGTTGTAAGCTTGAACGCCGAAGCTGCGGCAGGTACCTATGCTGCGACAGAACCTTTGGCAGAGAGCAGGGTCGAAATTGGAGCCGTCACCCATGCGGATGAGTTTTTGGTATGTCATGGCGCTTCGTCTGAGGTTGGTGGCTCCGCAGACAACGGGCGGCGCCGGGACGGGAGTAGGTGTGGGAGTCGGAGTTGGGGTTGGGGTTGGGGTTGGAGTGACATCGACAGCAGATGGCGATGGTGAAGGCGATGGCGATGGCGATGGCGATGGCGATGGCGAAAGGTTGGGACTAGTGATTTCGTACGAGCCAGCGTTGATTACCTTGTACTCATCGTCGCCGGCATAGTAGCCAGTGTTAACGGCGTAGCTAGGGTCCCAGGAGCGTGTGTAGAAAGCGCAGTAAGTGCCAAGGGGGACGCCATTCTGAGTGAGGATATAGGAGGTGAAGAAGTTGCAAGGCTTGTAAGTGCCATCAGAGTTGGGATGTGCCATATCGTATTCCGTTTGGGATTTGCATGCGGCAGCACAGAGTGTAGGGTCGAATGGGTTATCGTTGAAAAGGCGCATGCCGTTGTAAGTATCATAGCCGTTATCGAGGGGCGCGTTGATAGCTGCTGGTAGACTGGTCGGAGCCTTGAAGTCCTCCGCGTTTGGCAGACCTTTGTTGGTTTTGGTATAACCGTTGCTACCAGCAATGACGACTTGGAAGTCTTGACGCCACTGGCCCATATTTGTGGCAGCCTTGGCTGCGACAGGATATCCATAGAGAGAGCATTTGATGTTGTTGGTGGAAGGGGGGTTAGGGCAATTGGGTCCAGGCTCAAGAGATGGGTCGCGTTCAAAGTAGATATTGAAGCCAAGGCAGTACTTCTCGCCGTCGCAGGCATCAGCACAGCCCTGAACGTCGTAAGTCTGGTAAGTCTTGTAGGTCAAGTAGCCAATCTGTTGAGAGCTTCCGCTCTTGTCTACAAAGGACTGCTGGTAACCGGACGGAGTTCCAGCATTTCGAGCAATCTCACTCAACTCAGCAGCCGAGGAGAATGCCGCGGCAGTGTCAGGTGAGATAGTAGGGCCGTTACTTTGGAAAAGTCAGATAAATGCTGTCCATGTTTTCGTAAGCTTCTTACCCAAGAGGCTGCGTATTACAAGCATCACGCTTCCCCACCGTGAAACTGTCACGCTTTTGAATAATACCCTCGCTCTCAACAACGGCGGCAACAACAGAAGCAGCGGCAGTGGGGTTGTAAGTAGGCTCAGCAGGCTTCGTGTCCTCGATCTTAGGACCCAGGATCGAGGGAGTGGGGACAGCTAAGGCAGCGTCGATATTGATTCTTTGGGGAAGGGCGGCGGCAAGGCCAAGAAGGGTGGAGGCGGCGAAGGAGTAACGCATCTCGAAGTTGGCGATCCCGGATGTAAACGAATGTAGAGGAGGCTATTCTTGGTCTCTTTCTTACGGCGGTGGTGGAACTCATATACCATCTTTCCTCTCGTCGTGCTGGTTTGGATACGAGATGGCGTCGCCATGCCCGAGTGGTAGTTACGGGTCTAACTTGTCGGTACTGGCGACGAGTATTGCTGAGTTCGCGATGCGTACGCCATGGCGGTCGAAGGCGCACTCTGTGTAGCTGAGATGAGAAGCTAACAACGTAGACATGTTGGTCTAGAAACACGGGGAGAGCGACGGCAGAGCGACTACACTGATATGGACATCAAGGACAACAATGCCTGTGCTGGGGACTGACGGCGTATAGCCGAAGTGCATGAATTGTGCAGGCCGAAGCGAAGCTATGCCATGCACGTGACCCTGACTTGACTAGAAAAGGTAGTTTCCCATCAGCCTTGCAATTTGCGCGCTATATTCGCTTCGGTCATCGAGCAGCCTCGAATACTGGCGTATCGCAATGTGCAAATTGCGGTATGAAGCTCAAAGCTAATCGTCGCTTCGGGCTAGACCGCAGACGCCTAACACCATTGGAAGGATACTATCGACAATTGCCGATACCCTTGTGCACCGGCTTTCGCGATGCAAGCCGCATGGACTGACTGTGGACATGAGGCTCGACGCTAACGGCTGTACCCCTGAATTAGCTTGTACGCCGGCCATGCTTCCATCGTATGATACCATCACCAGTCCTTCCTGCGAAAGACCAGCACGCCTGCCAAATATATACACAGAGATCAAGAGGTGCATGTCCTGGGGGAGGAGCACTGGGTTGAAGTTCGTTGCAGCATGCTCGTAATTGACGATGTACGTCATGCTCGGTTGCATCCCGCCTGATAATGTTGTGACGAAAGTCTGTAGGCAATGGCGACCACATGGAATGCGGCTAACAGAGGCAGACTGACTCTGTGCAAGTCGCTTGCAGGAGTATATGATTCAGTATTCGATACCTCAGCCATTGCGAGTCCCCAATGCGAAGATGGTCGAGCGCCAGGTCGACCAACCCGACGTGGTTACGGTCTATGAACGTCGCGCGACGCGCAAGGCGACCGTACCGGACCCGTATTGTTGGGACGCCTGACTCTCCCCATAGCTGTACCTAGACCTTCTGATTGTACACCCTCCCTGTCTATTGTTCGGTTTGCGGTAACCGTGAGTGGCGGCGGCCTTCGTCGTGAAATGGCGAGCGCGGCGTGGAGCGGCCCAGAGTCTTCAAAGACAGGTAGCGACGCTGGGAGGCTATCGAAGTGTGGTGCGAGCTTCGTACAATGAATTCGTGTTGTATCGCATGCTGAATTGTTGCGACGGAGCAAGCTGCGAGGTCCACCATCGCGACGGCTTTTGATGCGCGTAGTATCAATCGCAGGTGGTGATCTTTACAGCGCGGGTCGCGGGTCCTTTGCCCCGCACCCGCACCCGCACCTCCCACCAACACTGAGATTCACGCCATGACTGGCAACCGCAATGTCAACCAAGCGTTGTTCGCGAGTGCGCTTGGTTCGCGAAATCACTGCCTTTATGCCTCAAGGTGCATGTCATCACCTTGTCGTTCATTCTGCAGCACTTTTGCGACGGATCGAGTTCATGAAAATGACTGGTTGCGATGCATCTTTCGCCTTAGCTTGTAGGATGAAGCTGACTTTCGCCTATCAGTCGTGTTGATATGTTAGGTGGGGCACATCCCTCTACGCGCCCTCGTCAAGCTTGTTCGTACCTCGCTCATCACAGCATCTCGCACGATTCTCGAGGCAGAGATGACTTTCTGTGATACATGTCAGTCCTTGCCGATTCGCAATATCTTGAGGCTTCTTCAGGGCGATACATCCGTACACGACAAGTTCCAGTGGTTTCAACTACCATGGGCTGTGACCAATAGAGAAGACGAGTATCCATTTGTTAGATGGCATGAGAGCCTTGCCGGATTACAGGATGGGGCCAGGAACTGCGCTTTCTGCCAAGTCATCTCCAGCCATCTGAGCAGCAGCTACCATTATCATAACAACTACAAGGACGGCGACATAAGAAGCCTATGGCTACAGGCCCGAGCACTCCCGCACGTAACTGTGTATCTGGGAAACACAAAGCCAGAAGTGCGTCTAAGTGGAAACTTCTGGTACAACACAACTCCAGGTACGGTCATTTGATCTAGGCACGTGAGCTGCAGTTGATGCGTGGTTTCCAGATAGCTCCGTAGCAAAGTGCTTTAACAGGCACGAGATCATCGAGGACTCATTGCATCCCTACGTGCTTGGCAAGATGGCAACATGGGTCAAAGATTGCAACAACCACCATCCAAAATGCCAACGATCAACAAATAGCGATGCTCAGTTGCCCACACGCCTCTTGGACCTCCATTCACTACCGGAAGGAAATGACTTGGAGGGTGTCGCAGGTGATCCACGTGCCCTGCTTACGGATGCAACACTCAAGCTTGTGGAGAATGGTCCAGATAGTCAAGGCCAATACATCGCATTGAGCTATTGCTGGGGTAAAGCCCTGCCATATACTACGACCTCTACGAACCTGGAAAAGCATACAAAAGACGGGGGCATCAAATACATGCAACTTCCTGAAACTCTTCGAGACGCGATATTTCTCACTAGATATCTAGGCATTCGCTATCTTTGGGCAGACTGTCTGTGCATCGTTCAAGACGATAAAGCTGACTGGGAGAGAGAGGCTTCTCGAATGGCTGATGTATACAGTAATGCGTACCTAACTCTTGCTGCTACGCGTGCGAGTCACTGCGGCGAAGGCTTTTTGCATGCGCGCAAGGCCAGAGAACGTCGCGTCGTCTCCTTCGCAGATGACGAAGGGTCGTTTGACTTGTATTTCTACTACGACGACTTGACCATGTCACCGGGGGCTATGGAATCGATAGTTGATGAGTCAATCACTATGCGAAAGGTGCGTCCACAACCTTGAGTCGCTCGCCCTGCACTCCTGGAAGCTGACGCAAGATAGGAAGAACCTCTTCTGAGCCGAGTCTGGGTCCTGCAAGAACGTATACTAGCGCCCCGCACAATACAGTTTGCTAGTTATAAGATGCTCTGGGAATGCTCGGAGAAGACCAATACCGAAGATGGATATGAAGACTCAGTCCGTAGAGAGATCTTTTTGGAAAGCATTGCCCATGGACTCAGGAGCTTTGTCAGGAACTTGGAAAACCCACCGCACATTGACGAGACGAGACGAAGCCATCGTTACGATGACGTTATGGCTTCTGATCTAGCACAGAGGGCTTGGTTCGTCTTGATTGAAGAATACACATCCCGGAACATGTCCTTCCAATCCGATAAGCTTCCCGCACTCTCTGGTGTCATCTCGGCGCTAGAAGAGCTGACTGGAGATATCTGTGTCGCTGGCATATGGAAACGCTGGTTCTTGCACGGCTTACTATGGCGCTTGCAACAACCCGAATGGGATATGTACGTCTTGTTTCCAAAGCCGCCACAGAGAGCTATACCTTGGAGGGCTCCAACCTGGTCCTTCGCATCCGTCGAGGGAGTCGTGATATACACACTTCTCGAAAACGATCCTGGTAAGGGAGTGTGTGCAGAACTGCTAGACTGCGATGTCACGCCCAAGGGAGTCAACCGACTTGGGGAGTTAACGAAAGGTTTTGTGAGGATAAGAGCACCGGTCGCTGCTGTGTTCGACATAGTGCCGCAGCAATCAAGTGAAAGGAGAGAGTGTAAGGTTCGCATGACAGATGACAGGCTCGCAGATGGGAGCGTGTACTTTGATATTGACGTGTACGAATCTTGTGAAGTGGTCATGATCACTCCGCATACTGGCATTGCGGTCAAACCGGTGAACACTGATGAATCAACCTACAGGAGAGTGGGGGCGCTCTCTGTGTACAGAGTCATCGAATCGACGAGCAAGGATTGCGAGGGCAAGATTCTGGATACGTTCCACCACGATAAGTCGCTGACCGCGTCTCACTACCCAGATTCAAAAACCATCACCCTGCTTTGAGTGGTTGTAGAAGGCAGTTATAGTTTTTTCAACAGGTGTAGTGCAGTTAATACTAGACCTGTTGCCCTGGTGACGACAGTATTTCGCAGACATATGCGGTACTAGCAGTCCCATGACGCGAGCGAGGGCGTTGAAGTCAGCTTGCAAGAGCGACGCGATAAGGCACAACGAAATGGAAAACAGAATGCAATTTACATTACTCTTACTGGGAAGCGATAGGATTCTTCTATCAAGGGCTCGCACAAAACAACATCAACTTCCTTCCCCGTGAGCCAACCAATGCCCATCAAAGTATCCATCATGCTCTTTCGTGAGACTTGAAGATCCCGAAAAATGGCTTCAAATCCATGGGGCAGACCGGGATATACATCCAACTTGGTCTTTACACCGTGCGCACGCAGCGCCTTTTCGTAAATTAACCCATCATCACGAAGGGGGTCCTTGCCTGCAACTTGTATGTAAACTGGCGGCATCCCCCTATGCGGGTTATCGGCCTGGAAAGGAGAAAAGTCTGGCGAGAACCTGTCATGGTGCCACACTTTAGTGATGTACTCCAAGGTGTCTTGATTGAAGACCAAAGATCTGGCATTCTGATCTCTAGCGAGGTAGAGGCTTTGGTACTGCTCCTGGACAATCTCTTTCTCCAAGACGCACGGGACGCTCACCCATGCTCCCGTCAGTGGAGGCTGACACCCCTCAGAAGCCCATCGCTGTGCCATGACGGCAGTAAGAGTACCGCCAGCAGAGACACCACCGATGTAGAAGCCTAGAGAGAGATCGCATTCGAGCTCCTTGGCATGTATGTCCTGACTCAACCACTTGAGAGAATCCCACATGTCCTGCGGCGCGGCAGGAAACCTGTGCTCGGGAGCAAGACGGTAGGATGGGCAGACGACAGTGAGGTTATATAGAGTTGCAATAGGTCGTGCTAGATAACCAAGGGAGAAGTTTTTCCCAAGGCAGAAACCGCCACCGTGAATGAGGACAAACATTCCTCGAGGAGTTGAAGATCGTCCGACAGGCAGATAGATACGTAGCTCGCTCTGATTACCATCGCGCATTGGGATCAATTTGGGATATTCGATGTCTGTGGTCGGCGGGGTAGGAGGCGGGTTGAGCTTGAACTCTGCGACCGCGTCAGAGAACCGAGGGCTAGGAAGACAGTCAACCTTGGCCAGAAACTTTCTCTAGATTAGCTAGCAACTGAGAAACGCAGTCGAATGATCACTATACCTCTTCAAATTCTGGGCTGATCACAATGCGGCACTTGGTCAGAACAATCATTCTTACTTAATCTGTATCAATTAAGGGGATCTTACTGTGTGTTGCCAAGCGCCAGAACAGCTTCTCTGGTGTTATATTCCGACATGATTCAGGTGATAAGAAGACAGACTTGATTTGTGGGTCTGGATACTATTCTTTAGTAGTAGCTTACTTTCGTGATAACCTAGAAAACCAACCCACGGATGCGAAAGGTATCTCAAGGCGTTGGATCTGTCTTTTGAAGGCTCTAAGAAACCACGTCAGGCTTATTTCAAAGTCCGCGCGAAACGTGAAAGCCGCGGTTCCGGGTTTTCCAAGCTCCTAGTGTCGTGACTACATAGCTTGCCGATGGATGCGTTCGTTTAGGCGGCGCTATGATAGGCCAGCCGCACCGAAGGCCAAGATTATGGAGACACAAAGGGCATCCCTCCGACAGTTGCAATAAGTGGTCTGGTTGACAACGTTCACTGACGTGCTCGTGTTGAATGCCTGCTAAGTGGAGATGGCTCAACGGAACGTCGTACTCGTGGCGCTGTGATTTGTCGTGAGCCGACCGCATCTTGCTCTCGCCGTCAGCTGCACAGGAAACATTTAATGCGAGAGTCTTAGTCGACCCAGCCTGCACGACAACGATTCTAGCGGTGACAATTTTCGTGAAATCAGTTCGGGTTCATGAGACACGAAGATCGAGAGTCGCCGCGACAAGAATCAAAGGATGCACAAGTAGAACAGTCTATTGTACTTTGTAGTTGTAGCTCTATAGTGTTGCATGGTAGTAGTGTAATTAGCACTAGGCGTATTAGTATAGGACAGATAGATCGAGTTTTAGGATACGAACACATTTGATAAACTAATCACATAGCTGTTAGTCGTTCGTTTCTTTCGATAGCTACACTTGAGACTTACACCGCCGCTACAACTATCCTGGACGTACAGTCCATTCCTCACGGGCTGTGCGCAAGTTCTCTCATGAGGAAATCTAGCGTCGTCACCGTCTCCGCACTGTCTGGGTATTACGACTTGAATCATTTTCTTTTTGATAATCTATAAACTTACGCAGAAGGAGTGGGGCTACGAATAGTCAGTAGGATGCTTTTCTGCTAGTCATCATATTACTTACATAGGAGTCGGGACATCCAGTGTTTGCGGGCAAACCCCATCCATTGTTACACCAGGAAGCCTGGGCAGAGACGGCAAAGGCCAGGAGGATTGAGGTAACGAGTTTCATGGCTAGTTAGGAAAGACGCTGCGGTTGTACTTGGGTTCTCAATGGTATATTGTCGAGGTACCTACACTACGATGAGATCAACGCATATATATACCTAATGCTCGATGATACGCACGGGCAGGTCCTTTTTCACCAGTATGAAGCGGTCATTTGCTAGCGACTCTGGCCAACAGGGATATATATTGCATACTAATCCAAGTCAAAGGTGCAACGTACGTAAATTTACCTTGTTGGAAGAGTCGAACAGCGGTGAGCTCTTGCGGCGTCGCAATGTATGCGCTACAGACACGATCTTAGATTATCCCCTTGCGGAGTCGGAGTAGCCTTAAAGCCGCCCTAGCCGATTGTTATCGCATCCTCGCGTGGCAGTGACCTGGACATATGTTCCCAACGAGATCCTCTCTATTATATGTGTAAACAAAAGCGTTGCAAAGACGTTCGTGAATCGGTTTGGGTTTCTAGAGAACAGTGGGTGCTGGCCGCCGCGATAGTCACTATAGGATGCACAAGATCTAGAGCATCGGTAAGATCGGGTGGGCAACTAAGTGCATGACTAAGGGCTTATTTCGGGAACTGCGCAGCAGGTACCGCCGAACCTCCCGCATGCGCGCGAGCCTCATACAGCAATTATAATCGAGCACGTGCTCGGGAGCTCGATAGGACATTGAAAAGTAGTGAAGGTGCGGGTATGGATGCGACGGAGTGTTGCTCGAGCTTGAGGCGATGACGGGCGGCTTGGTACTGAATATCTCATATCGACGCGAGAGAGCAAAGGTACAGCGATGGACTGGTTCACGGGTGAGTTCAGGCTGGCCTTGGAGGCGAGCGAGGTTATATCATATCGTTCGGCGAGCGTGCTCTGATCGTCTGCGAGCGAGGTGTCGTCATTTTCCACGAAGGGGGCTACGATGTTCCCAAGACATGTTTCGAAGAGACTGGCACACGCAGCATGGGTAGGCAGTGTGTCTAGGTCGGAGATAGCGAAGTTGTCTGGCGCCGAAGAACCTGAAGGTATGTCCAATTTCCAGCAGTCCGCAGTGCGATGGTGGAATGTCGGCTTCTTCGGTGTAGCTAGACAACTCCAAGACGGACGTCGGCGTCTTGAGTCTTGGCAACGAACATCGTAATACGTCTTATCTTGCGAGTCCCTACTTACGATGTATACCGAAGTACGCATGAAATAAGTCGCATCAGCGAGACATGAATCGAGCGCGATGCGTTCCGCACACTGAGATAGCTCTCAGGTTTTACGACTTGCTTGAGTCTTCAGCGACTAGATAAGTACATTTCCGCTGTCCGCAGGGCTCCCGGATGATGCACACGTGTCCACGTGCTTTCGCGTTAGGTTGTGTGTTCGGAGCTGCCCAGGATTATGTTCATCAAAGCGGCCGCAGAGGAGTGCTGTCATCTGTGTCACAGCTGTGTACGCCACGCGTCTCGAAATTATACGTGTGCGTCACGGCAAGTCTAATCGAAATGGGACCCATTTCGTAGATGGGTTCTTATGTTCCTGCTTCTGTCGCGTCTGCTCGCTATTCACTTTTATCAACTTCCAAGCTTTAGCGAACACAGTCCGCTCAGATGACATTGTATGCCAAACCGAAAGCACTATCGCGGTAGTCAGGAGAGAGAAATCCCAATAGAGTTCAAGACCAGGCTGCGCGACCTTTGGATTGTTCCATTCCAGCGAAGGCATGGCGAAGAGAGTGGCGAAAATGTGGCTGGCAGGAAGATCGTGGTCACGACAACTATGGCCTTCATGCATCTTAACCCACCTTTGCGTAGGTGTGGTACTTGCCTTGTCCTGCACAACCCGAATATCCTTGGTAGCGTCATACCATTGTATGCGACGTTTCTCTATAGCGCCCACAAGTTTATTGCCAGGAACGCGGGGAAATTTTCGTCTTGTTCGTGCGGATCACTCACTAGCGCGGCTCGCGCATAGTGTACACCCGTCCACGTGCTCGTGCGTCATGCCGTGAGCTGGAAGCCTGCCGGGGTCATGTTCAGTCCACCAACATCTGCGAGAAACGAGAGGGTGCGCTTGATGTCAACCTGTCAGATTCGCCTAAGCACCGAGGCTCGCGCCTACAACGTCGTCTTACCCTGATCCAGCGTGCGCGTCGCAAGGCAGACAACTTCGTCACCCCGCTCTCGACTCGACCCTCAGGCAATCGCGGCCGCTGAACAGCACATCGTACGCACACACACACACACACACACACACACACACAATTCCCGTAATCAGCGACGAAGACAGAAGCCTTTACGCATCATGGCGCATGCGCGGCTTCTAAAACGATCTCGACAACGGCCATTTAGATGGTGAAGACAACGTCCTCCCCTCAAATGGCGACACAAGCGACGACGAGAACCTCGGCCCAGAGCCATCACCACGGCGCCGCGATACTTTGTGCAAGCGATGCACCAACGTCTTCCCGGTCTCCGGCGGTTTCCTCATCAGCGACCCATTTGGCATCGAAAGACACAGCGCCCACAGCCGCCTCCACACTGCCCCTCCTCTCCAAAGACGACCCAACCCACATCCTCGCCCCGTATTCTGCTCGACTCCACAAAGTTTCCCCGATCTTCCAGCAGCGACATTCGCAAGCGTGGACCCCAGACTAGTCTCCGCTTTGCACGTTCCGTACAAGTCGACGCCAATCTTCGCGTAGGAGTCGTGCGACCCTGGGGTTGAAGGGCTATCAGGTACAATACATTGGGGTCAGTGAGACCAACGACCAGCTCAAGGAGCGCGCGACAGGAACGTGATTTACTGTAACCGTCACTTCATGCGCCATCCTCACGCGACTACAACCTCCTATATATGCGCATCCCATCTCTGCTATCTCTATGCGCACCCACTCATACCATCAATATTGACACAATTCATTTGAAAATATAACAAGGATGACGTAGTCATGTTAATTCGCTATCTCAGAAAGCATTGTTGAACGGAGCTGAACGGACCCTCGTCCCACAACGTATGCCCAGAAATCCACAAAAGATAAGCGTCTATTTCACTTGGTCCGACTTGCTTGGTCCCTGTTCCGGTCCTGGCTCTCGTGCTTATCGTTACACGCAGCTGGGTGTAGCGACCCTGTGTTGAAGCTTGCCCACGCCACATGGTGTATGGCGACATGCTCCTATGCTCCCCCAGAGTGCTCTCGAACGCACTCGACTTGCAGTCCGCGGGCGCTTGACACTGGCGACATCCGACCATGTGAAAAATGGAGTTGGCTAACCGTCTTGGGCCTAGTCCGGCAAAACCTCGCTGTACCTGCACCAAAATTTTGCGGCTCGATGCGGCTCCAAGCCAGCCTGTCTCGGTTTTTGGCGGCTCCACGCTAATTCGCCCGCGCAAAGCATCAACCACCAGTGTCCACCACGGCGAAGGAGGGACCCTACGCACCTGGGGAAACAATGAGCGCGCCGTGGGCGACCTCCACATCGTTCCTGGGTCTGTGCCTGCCGATGTCGGTCGGGCCGACGATTTCTGCATATAACGCGTACCGTCGTCCTTCGAGGCAGTACTCATCCTCGCGTGCCATTTCCTATTGATACCCCGGATCAGACATCAAAGCGACATGGGCTTCTCCAACGACAAGATGGGCGACGACATTGAGTATGGCAGCCAGCTCAAGGCCGAGGAAACCAACGCGCAAGGCCAGACTGATGCCGTCTTCGGTGAGGTCGTCGAGGGAGGACCAAACTACCGCAGCGTATGTCTCCATGTTGCGATTCTTACCTAACGCATATTGACGCCCAGCAGGTCAGCTGGTGGGGTTCGTCCATCATCATGATGAAGACACAAATCGGTCTCGGTGTACTGTCTATCCCCGCTGCATTCGATGCCCTGGGTCTCATTCCGGGCATCCTTTCGCTGCTTGCCATCGGAGGAATCACGCTGTGGTCTGGCTACATGGTCGGCACATTCAAGATGCGTCATCCTGAAACGTACGGTATCGAGGATGTGGGGCAGAAGCTGTTTGGGCGCGCCGGCCGCGAGGTGCTCGGTTTGGCGTTCGCTTTGTGTGGGTCCTTACCATATGGAAACATGGTTCTCCAGAACACCCCAGAATTGAGCATGTGGACTGACGAACAACAGTGTGGACGTGCGTCGCTGGCTCCGGTATGCTAGGTATCTCCATCGGATTGAATTCGTTGTCTGAGCATGGCACGTGTACTGCTATCTTTGTGGCTGTGGCCTGCTTTGTGGGCTTCTGCCTTGCTTCGATCAAGACCCTGGGAAAGCTTTCTTGGATTGCGTGGGTTGGTCTTGCTGGTATCATGTCAGCCAGTGAGTATTCCCGTATTTTTACACCAAAGAATGTGCTCTGACCACTACAGTCATTACCCTCACCGTCTCAGTCGGCATCCAGGATCGCCCTTCTGCGGCGCCTCAATTCGGCCCCTGGCAATCTGACTTTGAGCTCTTCAAGTCGCCCACCTTCGCTGAGGCAGCGGCTGCTCTATCCAGTATCGTCTTCGCGTTCTGCGGTATTCCTGCTTACTTCAACGTCGTGTCCGAGATGAAGGACCACAAGGACTACTTCAAGGCCCTGTCGCTGTGCCAATTCGTCATGACCTCCATCTACATCGCCATCGGTGTCGTCGTGTACTACTACTGCGGATCGTACGTCGCATCGCCTGCGCTGGGATCCGCCGGTGTCTTGATGAAGAAGATTTGCTACGGACTCGCGCTTCCCGGTCTTCTTGCGTCCGTCATCCTGGTCACTCATGTGAGTTACACAATCTCTCTTCTCTTTTGCTCTTTACGGACAATGTACTGATCTCTCACAGCTCGTCGCCAAGTACTTCTTCATCCGTACTCTGCGTGGAACAAAGCATCTCAACCACCCCACCGCTAAGCACTGGATCACCTGGTTCGGCTTCACCGGCGCTGTCTCCCTGACTGCCTACATCATTGCGTCTGCGATCCCCGTCTTCGGTGGCCTCGTCTCGCTCGTGGGCGCACTTTTGGGCACCCTCATGAGCTTCCAGCCCATGGGCTGCATGTGGCTGTACGACAACTGGCACCGGTCCAACCGCGACTGGAAGTGGAAGGGCATGGTCGCATGGTCCATCTTCGTCATCGTCGCCGGCACGTTCCTCCTCATTGGTGGTACGTATGGTTCGATCGTCGGCATCATTGACTCGTACAACAAGGATGGTGGCACCAGCCCTTGGTCGTGCGCGGATAACTCCAACTCGAGCGGTGGTCACTAAAGAGTGGCTGTTGGAGGAAGAGGCTTGATTTGATGGTGCTCTGGTCTTGTTCTTTTAGCGATGCATATGCATGATTTCAATGCGAATGTCCTACATTGTTCAAATATATGTTGTGTTTGGCATTCTTGAATGCAGCAATCATGAAGTCATAGCGGAGTGGATTATGTCGGAAGACTGATTGGGTTGGTGACAGCTTCACAGCTTTTTGCTCTATTGAGGGAGACCGTGAGACTGAGTGGCTGTAAAGTGTCCGTCGTACCTGCTGGCTCGTACTGATTTCGTCTGGTGCCTCGTACTATTGGGCGCGTTCTGTGGGGCTTTTTAGATGTGCTGTATCCGCTTTCGCGACGCAGTCGGCTTTCATGTCGACGGCGCCAGCGACGGGATGGTTATGACAACAGCAGTCTTACGGACGATCGACTGCGGCTGTCCCAGGTTGAGATCGAGTCGTGATCTACCTAGTCTGGCTGTATGTTGACGACTGGGTATTGCCGGGTTATGGTCGGAGCGTCTTGGGTGTCAAGAAAGGTTATTGTTGTGTTTGGTAGAGACGTCCAATGTCAAGGGGGAGAGATGCAAAGCTGACGACATGCTCAAGCAGACTGAATAGAAGACGAAGACGCAGGAAAAAAAAAGACTGATAGGAGACTGATGCATGCGACAATGGAAATCAACGACGCAAACGCCAGTAATTTGCACAATAATGATGGCAGACTGAGTCACAGTATACAGAAACACAGAGAAAGCAACGCAACTTACTCTTGGTATACCACAGATGCGTAGGAGCCCAGTACTTATGCTCCGCCTCCGGGTGCAACTGGCTTCTTATCTGGTTACACCTCCACGCCCTACAGCCCTACAACCTCTCTCCGCAACTTTTCCGCAGGATAAAGCCGCGGAGAAGTGGGTCTCGCACACCGACTTCGCAACTCCCCTCTGGAACGACCGGGGAAATTCAAAGTGACTGCGCACCTCAGTACTTGAATAGCGCATGCAGAATGAGGGCGCGGGTATCTTATACTGTTTGAGATTACAGCGATTACAGGTTCAGGGTCCGAATTGAGGCTCTGCGATAAGCTGTCGGAATATGATTGGTGGTTATCGGAGTATTCTGAATCCGTCGGTTTACTCCGAGAAACACGGCATCACGGTTATCCCGACGCTCCAGCGAAACAAAACTCAAAGAGGTTTACGGATCTCGTCAGCGCGAACAAATGATAGCCTCTATGCAAATCAGGCCTCCAGCAGACTCAAAGACACATTTTGTATTCTTGTGGCGCGTACAAACATGAGGACGGTGCTCTCGTACGCTTACATGCATTGGCGAATCAAAGCCCAGGAGATGCGAGCTGACCAATGACGAAGGTGCCGATGGACCGTCTTACAGGTCTCGGTACAAGCAACATACTGTCGTTTCCTCGCTTTTCTGAATGTTGCATCCTTTTGTATTTTACAGTCGGCCCTTTGGACTTTATCTACGCGATGAATATGACAAGTCGCAGAAAAGTACGCTCAGGGTGTGGTACCTGCAGGTATAGGGCCTTTGCAAATCATGAGAGAGATCTGACCGAGTCTCAGAACCCGGAAAGTCAAATGCGACGAGCTCAAGCCAGTATGCAAGCGATGTTTCTCCACAGGTCGCACATGTGAGGGCTATGGCATCTGGGGTGGAGGAGGAAACGGGTACGCAGAGCGCTATGGTAGCAAAAAGAGGTGTACCCCGTCGCTGCACCATCACTTCCCGGCCGCGAAGCTCAAATTGCGCAATGAAGACCAGGAATATCTGGACTGGTTTCACCATCGCCTTGTGCACGACTTGAGTGGTCGGCTGGCAGAGGGGTTCTGGACGGCGCTGGTTATGCCTACGCTGCTGAACGAACCTGTCATCGCGCATGCGGCCATTGCGCTGAGCTCAGCGCATAAGAACGCCGTTTTGGCATCGGATTACACGCAGCTGAAATGTGAGCTTCTTGTCATGAGGCATTACAATGAGTCGTTGCGACACCTCCAGTCCGCGATTGGGCTTGGTGGAAAGACGATGTCCGGTCTCGCATTAGTCTCCTGTCTGCTGTACACTTTGCTAGAGCAGGTAAGAGGTAGGATTGAGCAGGCTGAGATGCATCTACAGAGCGGATTGCGGCTGTTGAAGGATGTTCATCAGAGCCTATGTGTCAACATGCATGGGTTGACTTTGCTGAAAAGAAGCCCGAGTGTGGATATCGACCAGGTCAGGATCATGCAAGGATTCGCATCACTCCATCTAGAATCGCAGTTCCTCGGGACAAGCTCGCCGGGCATTGACATCCTCGTGCAGTCTTCCGTTGAGGATGTGCCGTCACGCACCTTCAAATCGATTGAAGAAGCTCGGCACTCGTTGAACAAACTAGTTCACGCTATCCTGCTCATCTCGCGGCGTTTCCTCCGAATGACCGCTGCGGAGCGTGAGGATCGACTGAAGAGGGTCGACATCCACAATCAGGCGCTGGGCTTACTCCAGGACTGGCTGAAAACGTACAAGTCTACAAACTTCTGCGTGAGGAAGAAAGATCGCGACCGCCAAGTTGGACACACAATACTGCTCAATCATTACGAAATGGCACTCATCATGTGGGGTCACATAGGCTGCACCTCAGAATCTGGGTATGAGGACCATACTGCAAAGTTCCTCGCCATACTGGAGCATTCGGTGGAAATCTGGCACTTGTTGCCTTCATTGTCTGCAACCGAGAGCAATAGTTTTGGCGACAACTTGGCTACTCCGTTGTTCTTTACAGCTCTCAAATGCCGCGACCGCCGCATTCGATTACAGGCCGTCAGACTACTCAAAACCATCCCCTTCAGCCAGGGCGGCTGGAGCTGCCTGTTGATGTCCAAGATTGCCGCAGAGATTGTGACATTAGAGCAAGATGCTTTCACAGCTCGCTTAATGAAAGACGGCTTTGATGTCACCGACACCCAGACTTTTGCTGGCCTTGAGACTTGCCCTCAATCATCTTCGAAACTGATTCATGACGTACGAATAAGTTCTTGGGATGCGTCAACTGATACAGTTAGCCTTCGTTGTCAGCAATGGACCGATGATGGCGGAGTGACAACATTCTATCATGACATGGTTATCTCAAAATAGTCGATACAAACGCACGCACTTGAGTTGCTGCTTGAGGACAATGTCTACTCGATCATAAAGGGATATGGTGCTCAAACGACCTGGCTCCCAAGCTCTTCCTGCGTCCATTTCCACAGCTTCTCTCCAAGCTCCCTATCCCTAGACAAGGCGCTGCCCTTGCCCAGTACGCCAACAGGTTCGTAGTACCTGCCGCTCTGCACATCGTCAGAGGTCATGGCCCAAAGCCCATTCTTGACGCCTTCCTCCAAGCTCACGCCCACTCTCGGCGCCACTTCTCGCGCGAGGTACTCAATCTCTGGTCCACCGCCCTGCACACCCTTGTCGAACAACTGCGTAGCTACGTCCTCTGGATGGATAGCCACAGAGATGATCGAGGGGTGATGCCGTGCAATCTCTCGCGCGTACACCACATTGGCGAGCTTCGACTGCGTGTAACGCGTCACCCCTGAGAGATCCGACTGGGTTGATTTCAGGGTTGAGAATGCGATGCCTCCCGGTGGGACTTCGAAGGCATGGCCACGCGAGCTGACGGAAACTACTCGAGGCTTGGTCGCGGACGTCTCAGCAGACTTGGTGAGGAGTGGAACCAGCATGTCAAATAGCAATGCGTGACCGACGTGGTTGGTGCCGAATGCTAGCTCGTATCCCTCCACCGTAACGCCTGGAGGTCCTCCCATCTAGAAGCATATCAGTTCAGTTCCATCGTCGAGATGAAATAAAGTTGGACACTCACGATTCCCGCGTTCAACATCAGAAGATCCAGCTGAGGTGCTTCTGCAAGTACAATCTTGGCCGCCGCCTTGATCGACTCAAAGGACGTCAATTCCAGGGACACAAATCTCACGTCAACGCTGGACCCCGTTTTCTTGACGTCTTGCACAGCTTCGAGGCCTGACTGTTCATTTCGAGCGGCGATCCAGATCTGCGCGGGATTGTGCTTAGCCAATTCGATGGCAGTCTGTTTTCCGATGCCGCTGTTCGCACCCGTGATCATAATGACTTTCCCATTGAGTGAGGGGATATCGGCAGAAGGGTCGAAGGCGTGTGGTTTGCTAGGTTGGAGCTGATCGAGCGCTCCGATAGCGGGATGAGGTTCCGTTGAAGTCATTCTTGGTAATGGCTTGAGTGGCTTTTGGAATTCGATATTGCACTTGAGAACAGCGAAGGCAGACTTGTATTTGTACGTGAATGTGAGATGCCATCTCTGCGGCGATGTTGTTTACGGAAGCATGTCTTATGACGACACCAATATCGTGAGAGAAATGGCAACCTATGGAGTCCGAATCTACCAATCGGAATAACGTACCATGACCGTGGAGGGAAGCTCGCTCCAAAAGGCCCGGAGATATGAACATAACGCCATACCAGAAGGATCATATAAGACATCGAGCTCGGCAGGAATCCGCAATGCTGATTGGTGGGCTCGCACCTCTTTGGCTCTTGATCAATGAAGCATCGCTATGTCGGGTTGCTTTGAGACGCTCGTAGATGATCGGATCAGTTGACACGGTCTAGTCGGACAGATGCTGAGCCGACGCGTTCTCACGATATCAGACTAGGCGGCCATTCCAGGACTTGAGCAAGTTCACATAAGTTGGCCCGAGTGCGACAGCGAAGCCGGAGGCTGCCGAGGACGAGACTTGATGCGCAAACCAAAGAGTGTTCCATCTATTGAAAGTGCCGGAAGTGCTGGATGTAGACCCCGCGCCATTTCATTCCCCGCCATGACCTGCGACAATGGCGTGGTATCTCACCCTGTAGTCGTCCGTCATCTATGACTTTTTGACCTATAATCGCAAACATTGAAGGGCAGGCTGGTGTCCTACCGGATCGTGCGATCGTGTACCTGAACGTGACTGAAAAGCCTCGGTCCAAGTTGTAGTCATTCAGCGCAGATCATCGCATTATGAAAAGTCCAGTTTTCGCTCCGGCACTCCGCCTCTCATGGCTTACGATCACCTGCCAGCCTTTTGTGAGGTATTTAGAATGCCCAAAAAAGCTTCAGAGACGTCATCGTCGCGGGTGTTTGGGCGGGAATCTGGCACGGATAGGTTCAATCGTACGTGTGTGCTTTGAATGTGTTGACGGCGGCAGAGGCAGCGGACGGGACGGTAGCGCGTGCGGTTCGACTCAAGATTCTTGGGATGTTCATGAGCTACGATATTAGATCGAGTCGGTCTGTTCCATAGAGACAACGCGCGCGCGCGACGTACCCGTAGTAGCATTCTAATACACTTTTCTTGTTCTAGTACTCAAAGCTTCATCGCGCTACGCCGGCGATACCCGCTCTCAACTTGTACGAGACCGCGCAGTCCAAGGGAACGTCGCAGCCTCACATGGTCTCGCCATCATGGAGATGCCGTTGGTAGGGCGAAGTTCGGGGACGGTCGGGAGTGAGCGGGCCGCCATCGTGGTCGCGACCTCGTTGAAGCAATTGAACGTGACCTTATATCATCGAGGCCGCGCGACTAGGCGTTCTGAAGCATGGATGAGGATACTGTTGGTAGTAATTGTGTACGCGCACTAAATCTCTGGTGGGTACATGCGACGTGAGGGTCTGCAGCAGCGCGGGCAGGGCGGCCGAGCAGGCTATCGTCTTCGGTTCGCTTAGCACGGGTTTCCCCAGGTTTTCGACGCTCGTCGTGGCATGCTCCACCCCCACATTGTTGATCGAACGCGATCCGTCGCACGGTAAGATGCTGAAATTATTGTAATTCAGCGCTACACGGGATTCTTACAGCCTGGTCATCTTTCATGGAGTTCTCAGTGGGAACTGCACTGCTAGTTGGTAGGTGTACCAAAGATCATGTGTCTATCTTCACATCACTCTTGCTCATTACAGTGGCGGTCACTCATGCGCCACACGTGCTCTGTTTCCTGGCCCTCCTACGCTGCAGCTTTGCACAGTGACGAAGTCACAGAACTCCATGAAACGGTATTTCGGAACAAAACGCGCTCTCCGCTACCAGCTCTTTGCGACGACATCATTACGTCGCATCAACGATCAAAACTGTAACGCGAAGAAGATCAGATGCTGCTCCTTCCAAAACACCCTTCCAAGATACAATCCGGGAGAAATCAGTCGAATCTCATCTCGTACCCAATGCGCAACCACCGATGTCTTCGAATAGTCCAGTACGATACATTCCTTGCCGTCAATCCAGCTCGGTTCGCGACTTATATGGGCGAGGATAGCGTCGAGGCCAAAGACGGTTATCTTGTTCACGAGTGCCATCTTCTCCGCATCGAAGATCTTGCCCTGCCAGGCGAAGAAGTTAATGAACTTGGCGATCTCGGGCGTGAAAGTGGTGCCGGGTGCGATGATCGCGGTGCCTTGTGCATCACCGTTGGGTATCGGTCCAGCTTCGGCGTTAGCGAAGAGGACAGTAAGTTCAGGTTCGGTTTTGGTGAGTAGGTCGTCAACGTTGTTTACCATTGTTTCGGTTCCTGGTTAACTTCTGATTGGGAACAGGAGAAGGGAGATTCGATGAGGGAGAGAGATAGAGAAGGACCTTGTTCTGCGACTTGTAGCTGGGCATCTTATCACACAGTATCAGCTCCTGGCTTCCAGCCACGAACATGATTAAGATGCCCCTCGTGCGTCGACAAGGTTCATCTCATCGAATCTGATGCTGTCGGTTGGATCAGAGGCTCTGGAATACGAGCAGCCGCACTGAGCTGAAAGAGATTCTCAGAGACCATGTGCTACCAGCCATTAGCTAGATGCAATTCCATGCTGACGTGAGCGACTATGAACGGACTGCCACAGAACCCGTTGCACTCTCGTTGTGTAAGCTGCGGCTGAGATTCGTCATCACCAAGCAACATCGATTGTGTATATGGAGATAATCGTCTACTCCTAGCAAAGCTGCAGCACGCAGATGACGGTGCGTACAGGATCGCAAGACCTGGGAATGCGTTAATAGTCAATTCAGAGTCGACATTATAGGCCGAATTGGTCTGGAGAATGGGCGTTACTGCTAGAGCGATCTTTGGCTCCAACACTGCGTCAGGCAGGCTGCACGACAGGTGATATTCGCGCCTGCAGGTGTGTTCATTTCCTTTTCGTGCTAGGAACATGCGGTCTTGTTCTCGGATCTAAGGCGGCTAAAGCGACAGTAGTTAAGTAACATTTGTCGTTGAAGCACGCAACGCAGAGGCTTGCATATAGATAGGGATGAGCCCTGCCTTGGGCAGATGAGATAGTTGTTGTGCGGGGAGCTTGCTGAAAGATCCCTGTCCGCACCTCCCTTCCCGCGCGGTAACCCAACGGGCCGCAACCTGAATAGATCCGACTTGTACATTCACCCACGCCCCAGCAACGCCCACGATATCAGCGACGCGCACAAATGCAGTGACACTCACAAAAACCGCTCCGGCCAGCGGCTCTACTCCATCAGTATACATTCCTTCGACCGCAGCCTCCGTCGTCCGCATCGACACGAGCTGTCCTCCGTTATCAGTCGCCTGGGACAGCAAGAGAAACACCTGCACTGAGAATAGGAACATCAAGGATGGCGATATTACTAGCATAAGCGAATACTCGCTGCAGCAATGTATTGATGCGTGTAGCACGTGGGATGCTGTGCATGGTCAGCACTATGAAAGGGCATAGCCATTGGGGACGACCTGCCAGTCACGTATAACATTAAAAATGGTGCTGACTGTTGGTTGAAGAACGACGCGACATATCTGACGACGTACACGCAAGGGCAGGGCGGTGACCGGCCGGCGATTGCTACGTTGCATGAGTAATTATGCTCGTCCCAGGCGTGTTCCGCAAACCTAAGGAGAGTTGTGTTCTATATTTTGTGTTTAGTCGTTTCTTATCGCTTTTCATCGCCCTTACGGAAATTCATGTGCTGCATTTCAGATTGCGGTCGTCCTCTCGGATAGATTTTAAGCGCTTAGAGCTCGTACCTGGCTCTACTCTTGCATTGTACCCTGGTCTATCTCTGGTGGGTTTCCAAAATTCGTTTTATCTGCCGATAAGACGTGATTACTATTTGCGCGAGTGGAACCTTGCACGATCAAGCTGCCTTTTCTATCTAAGCTCAAGCCTTAGCAGTTTCGGTGTTCGTTGCGCGTGATCGGTACGGGCCGGCAAGTCGCACGCCAGATTCTCTTTTCTATTCGCCGGCGCGTTGCTGTCGTGCTCGCCAATCGCGCTTTGCGCAACGAAGCAGGAGCTCCTGCAGCCAAGCAAATTGCCAAGAGTCTCGCGCCCTCATTTCCATCCTTCGTTCAACATTTCTCCAGAGCTCCGCCGTCGTGACTGGCACGCCGAGTGGCATAGCCTGCTCAGCATTTGTGCAATCAGTAATGACACTGCTGCTTCTATACACCATCCGAGATAGCGTCACCATCCAGGCTATTTGAGCGCAACAATAGTTCAAGGATCAACAACATGACTAGAGGCTGTGGAAATGTGCCTATGGAATACGAGAACAAGCTTCTGTTAATGCAGGTCTATCGTACGTGTCAGAGGGGAGTCTAGGGCAACAATGTAGGCAGGTGACGCGAACCGCCGGAGAATCGTCCATCACGACCTCGTCCTCACCTCTCTTGAGGTAAGAGGCTGTATTCACCACATGTGCGTCGAATGGTGGAGTAAATGGCTCAGACGTCTACATATCACTTTTTTTACTTAGGATCTCGCCGAAGCTCCATTCTGAACACTGAGCAGGTAACCCCTGATTCAGATAAAAGTCCTACTCTTACGTTTATTCTTTCTAGCACACAATCCGTTGCATACTCAACGTCCTATCATGGTTATCTTCCCGAAAGTCTTTCGACACTTTAACGCGCAACGGTCTTGAACGCACCAACGATCCGCTGCCTTTCCTTTTCGTGCTCTTGTCCCGGTACTTTGGCTTGGCACCATTATATCCTTGTTGATCGAATATTGACTTCAGGCCGGATACGGCAGGTATTGGGCGGGACATCTTCGTGACTACCACACTCTACATCAAAGCGTGCTAGTAACCGCGTAGCCATAGTGCGAAGACCACCTACAGTCTTGGAGTTTGCGCTATGACATTCGTAAGTTGCTGAATAGCACGCCATACTGTGCTCAGGAATGGTGATGTCCTTCGACCTTCTCCATCAAGATAGTCCCTGCTACTCTACCATGGCTATAGTCCTAATGGCATCATAGGACCGGAGAATTGTGACTATTCGGTCGATTGGATACCTCTGTGGTCGTGTATATAAGATGAAGTGAATATCGCTCTATAGAGGCTATCAAGCATCAGCCTTGAGCTCGTCATCTCCCTCTTCTGCCAGCCTACACTCAGTCTTCTCCTGAGTAAGTTTTCCACTGACGATTCTGGAGCTTCACACTCACGCATTGCAGACTTCAACATGGTCAACGTTCGCAACCTCGCTGTATTCTTCGGAGCCCTGCTCCCCAGTGTCCTTGCGGCTCCTGCTCCCATCACCAAGAAGGATGACATCATCCCTGGGAAGTTTATCGTCACTCTCAAGCCTGGTGTCGACGCTGCTGCCGCCGAAGCCCACTTGAACTGGGCCGCTGATGTCCACAAGCGCAGCTTCGCCAAGCGCGACACCGCCGGTATTGAGAAGGAGTTCGGCATCAAGGACTGGAAGGCGTACTCTGGCGAGTTCGACGAGGCTACTATTGCTGAGATCAAGGCCAGCCCTGAAGTGAGTAGCATTCTGGATCACTGAAGGTCTGATGGGCACATCGGCACTGTTCCCGCATCAGCATTGCTTCAATGAATTGGAGTCGCTTAACCTTCCTTCGTCGCCCACTTCTGTTCTTCACGAATCGCTATCAAGAAACTGTCATATATCTTCGCCTGTACTGACCTACCACAGGTTGCTCTTGTCGAGCCCGACACAATCGCATACCTTTGGTATGATGTCGAGGAGGTTCACGAGAATGTGCTCGAGAAGAAGGCCTTGACTACCCAGTCAAGCGCCCCCTGGGGTCTTGGTGCCATCAGCCACCGATCCGGCTCCTCTACCCAGTACATCTACGACACCACCGCTGGACAGGACACCTACGCCTACGTCGTCGACTCCGGTATCATCGTTGCCCACCAGCAGTTCGGTGGCCGTGCCACCCTCGGCTACAACGTCTTCAGTAGCGCTCATACCGATACCCTGGGCCACGGCACCCACGTTGCCGGCACCATTGGTGGTTCAACCTACGGTGTCGCCAAGCGTACCAACCTGATCTCCGTCAAGGTCTTCGAGGGCCGAACTGGTACCACCTCCAACATTCTCTCTGGCTTCAACTGGGCGGTCAATGACATCACATCGAAGAGTCGCACCGCTCGCTCTGTTGTCAACCTGTCCCTCGGCGGCGGAGCCTCCACCACCTGGACCAACGCCATTCAGGCCGCCTACACTCAAGGAGTCCTTTCCGTCGTCGCTGCCGGCAACGGCGACGAGTTCGGCAACCCGCTCCCCGTCTCTAGCCAATCCCCCGCCAACGCTCCCAACGCCATCACCGTTTCTGCAGCAGACAGCTCGTTCCGCCCTGGTACCTTCACCAACTACGGTGCCGGTGTTGACATCTTCGCCCCCGGTGTCGGTATCTTGTCCTCATACATCGGAAGCAACACCGCTACCGCCTCGCTGTCTGGTACCTCCATGGCTGCGCCCCACGTCGCTGGTGTTGTTGTCTACCTCCAGGCTCTTGAGGGCTTATCCACCCCTGCTACGATCACTAACCGCATTAAGGCGCTCGGTGTCGCGAACAAAATTACTGGCACCCTTCGCGGTAGCCCCAACCTGTTTCTGTACAACGGCAACGGTGCATAAGCGCCTGTTCAAATTGAGAAGAGATGTATGCAGATAATTTACAATACATGCCAGAAGTTTAAGTTAGAGAGTAGTATGAGAGAGATGCTATGTAGAAGATTAGATTATGCTTAATCTATCTAAAGTTGCAAAACACGTTCGATGCACTTGACTTTTAGGAATATTGTCAAAGGCGTAACTGTATACAATAGTACTCGCTTTATTTTACCAAGCATACTCAGAGGTAGCTAGCATATCAATATAATAGACAAAGGCAGAAAGAAGAATAATTCTTATTCTCTTTCTCTTGAACGAGGCGCGCCTTATATGCAGGTCTAGCGCCTATCACTTTGTTAGAAAAAGCATACGTCTTGTGTAGTAGACTCCCTAGGACAGGGTAGTTCTTAGTCCTTGTTACCGTGGCGGAGAATGTATATGGACCTATGGATCACGCTCGGCATGGGTAATCATAACAGTGCTAGCGCTTTGGTTTGATGTCCTACAGAAGTAGATTCAGCTCAAACGAACATATGACTAGCCCTCTTGCCCGTCATACTGCCTTTCCCCCTCATCCTCGCCTTCGTCCTCATCATCGTCTGGCGCCTCGGTGACAGCTTCACTGGTGTGGTACGGTTTCATCACACCGCTATCAGCAGCATGGCGGGTCACGAAGAACGCATGTTCGATACCTAACGGGCGACCCTGGCACACGTAGCCAAGCGGAGTGTGCATGACATCCTGACCCTTACGACGAAGAGACGTCCACTCTAGGATGAATCTGGTCTTTTCTGTCGTTGTTACATTGGATCGGCTACTCGCGCTGACATCGTCGATGTACTTGACTAGCGACACACATTCTTCATACCCCATATACAGTCGACCCGCGAAGAGGCCGAGTTCGATGACAAGGCTTGGCGGGATGGTGTGTTCGCGTGGAAGTGCTGGGGCAGTGTAGTACCGTAGACCGCTGAACGGGAGCATTTTCTTCGTGACAGGTGCGGAATACGTGAGGAGGTGGACTTTGTGAGGGAACGATTGAGTACGAAGTTGAGGAATCACAGCCTCTGCTTCTTCGGCGATGACGATGAGTGCGTCGGAGGTGATGGGGTTGTAAAGGATCCATTCAACCGGACGCTAGCCAAACTGTTAGTATGCCAATAGAACGCGAGAGACGATGAACTCACTAGAAAATTGTCAATCAAGCCACGTTCCTTCGTTTTGATTGTCCTCATAAACTCGGCCGAAACGAACAAGCCAGATTCTATTCCTCCGATGCCAGATCTGTCGCCGGTAGACGTGCGTGAAACAGCATTCGACACGCTTTCGTATCCCACGTTTCCACACAGACGACCAGTGTTCACAAAGCCAGAAATAGCTGCATGGAGTCCAGGAAACGTATGAGCCTCGTAGTGCACGGCTTTCTGCACCTCGCGCACTTCTTCAACTTGGAACTCCACCTCGCGTTCCTGCTCTACCTCTTCCAGCGCGGAGGAGTGGAGGTTGTCTGCCGCCTGTGACATACTCAGACGTAGCTGATTGAGTTTGTTCCTGAAAGCTTCGAGCTGGGGAAACGTGGTCGTGGGAGGCAACGTGCTGTGGACATTCTCCGTACGGCTCCCGTATAGCTGCTCAAGTGTTTGTTGCTCAGGATGCCGGAGCACTTTGACAAATGCACTCCTGTCTTGAGCATCGAAAAGAAAAGCTGCATTCTCCCATTCTGTATTCACGCGATTGCAAAAGTCAGTACCCTGAGAGATGTAGAGATTCTGGAGTTGTTCGTTCGTACGACATGCCTGCTCCAACAACCAACGAACGACATTAGAAGAGTCGATTTTGTGGTCGCTGCTCCTTCCACAGACGTCGAGAATGGACTGGTGAGTCTCTGGGAAGGCGAAGAAGCAAACAGACTGAGTGGTCGCAAGCTGCCGAAGGCGCATGGCAGCTGCATGTAACGTCAGCATTGGATACCTTGTAGATCAAATGTTGTCACTCACCTTGCACAGTATGATCCTTGGTCTGCCCAAGAGCAAGCGTCAGCGCGCCACGAGCATTTTCAGGCAATTTTAGATCTATGCCCCGTGTGTGCGCTTCATCCAGGTACACGAGACAATCGTCTAGATGATCGACAAGTGGGGTTGCTAGCAAGGGCACTCGCGCCTTGGTGCCACGATATCGCACCCAGGCTCGATTATCAGTGCCAAAGTATACAGCTGCCTGTGGCTGCGTATCTATGTCCATCCACGTCTTGACTAGATCTTCGTTGCTCATCTCGAGTATGTAGGCACCAGCGTCGATGAGAACTCGAATCTTCTTGTCTCTCAGTTGGCCAAGGAACTCTGTTTCAGATAGCCGCCTTCCTGCATGAGCAACGGTGTGGTATCCACGATTTCGTTCTTGCAATAGGTAGGTGAGCACCTCGGCGTTAGTTTGATGCAGACTTGGCAGATCGCTTTGCTGGATGGTGAGCGGCAGCATCGTTTTGTTGTCGCTAGTGCCGCTGAAGCCAGTGGTCCTTGCACGTGTTAGTGTCTTGTCGGAGTCTGTTCGCGGGAACAAGGGAAGATCCCATCCAGAAGCCTGTAACTTGGTGTCGAACTGTTTGGCGTGAGCAGGGAACACAAAGTGGTTCATGTAGTGATCGAGCGCGATGGTGTTCGTTCGAAGATGTCTCCAGAGTTCCTCCATCTGATCTTGGTCATCGGAGTTGATCACGTTCCAATGATGCAAAGCCTCTGGAAGCGAATCGCAGCTGCTGGTCCACCTGTCGTACTCGCTAGCAGGGTCATGTGACGCAAGGATATGGCGAAGAGCTTCGCGAAACTGGACCAGGCTGAGACCAGTGTAGTAGAATGCCAAGCAGGTGAGGAGGATCGCCGCATCAGGGTGTCCAAACTCCGCCTGCTCAGAAGGAATTCCTTTTGCTTCAAAGGGCACCGCCATCGGGTCTCGCGTAGGGTGCAGCCCATACTGTACGTTCCAGCGCTTTCTGAGACAAAGAAGTAGTATCCGATGGTGCAGCAGGCCCCGGATAAGCAATAGGGTTTTGCGAGCGATAGTCTCGTCAGTGAACTGCCTAGCCACGCGCTCCAACAACATCATGTCCAATATCTTCCCTAGGAGCACTCTACGTATGTCTGGGCTGCAGCCATCCGAAGCACAGCCTGTGAAGCGAAGAAATGAAGTTCTTCCGGTACATATGTCATCGACTATGCGCCTATGCAGATCCTCTTCGACATCCGCGTGGAGGATGTAAATCATCGGATAGCCCTGACCCCGCTTCAAGACTTCGATATTGCGCGGAAAGTCTTGCTCAAGCTTGGGAAGATGATCTTTCACGAGCGACAACATGGATTGCGCTACTTTCCAGCGGTGCGGGTGTCCATTCACGGTTGTCTGCTTGCCGCTTGGGTAGATGAGTTGGGTCTTTACCGCCAATGAAACATCCGATTCGTCCAAGATATCTCGAGCAATCGAGCTTAAGTATGTATGATACTCAAGTACCTCGCGTGCAGTCTCCAGGTTGGAGTTAGCAAGATGTTGGAGGCCACTAAGCTTGTACGAGAGAAGGTGTTCAGGCGCAATCAACACAACACCCTGACTGTCCAACATTTCCTGATGGAGGTTCCTGTATAGCTGAAGTATCTGCGGGTTGATGTTGGTCTTACGAGAGAAGGGAATATGTCGTATTTCGCGACCCACCAAGCCGCCCAGTCGTGACTGGATCATCTGCGCAGTCGGCAAAAGCAATGGCTTGGGTACGATGAGACGCGAAAGCTGCTTGCCGTCTCCTATCGCCGCTAGAGCCATCGGAACAATACACGATGTCTTACCTAGCGATGACTATCAGAGAGCGTACTGTGTCTACGATATGCTTGACCTACCTTTACCCATGTTCAGTTGCAGCACTGTGTTCTTCCTCGATTCAGATGCGATTATCGCGTGTGCAACGTCGACCTGCTCCCGCCGGATCAGAATGTCGCTATCAATCTCTAGGAGAAGCCAGTCCGGCCATTCCAGGGCGCTCCAGTTCTCATGGCCAGAGTTTCCGAGTTCTGCTTGGAGATCCTTGCCTTTATCGTGACACAGCGCGTTGTGGATTCGTGTCAGCCGCTGCAGTTTCGTGATGAGAATACCGTGTGCCACAATCGTCTCTTGTACGAAGTTCCCAAACTCGCAACACGAGCTTGAGCGCAGCTGCTCCAAAAGTGCGATGGACGTCGTGCAAGGCCAGAGGTTTCCAAGCCGTAGCCACGAGGAGCAGTTGTCATCTCTGGCAAGAGCCTCGCGAATCCGAGACAAATGAGTGGCTACTATCGCATGGAGTTCCTGAGTGCGCCTCGCGTTATCTGAGATATTCGGAGTAGCATGGGGAACTTGAGTCTGATTACTGGTTCTTTCGAGGGCGTCAAGACTCATCTTCAGATCTAGCCCATAGTGTTGGCGGAGGGGGTTGGATGACTGTGCCAAATCGGAAAGGATCTGCCGTAGCTCAACGATCTCCTTGGCTGGCATCCGGGGTTTTGCGCTCCCCTCCATATGAGAAGCAAGTTTGCTGTTTTTGGGCAGTAGCAGCTCGCACGCCTGGTGTCCGAAAGATGCTGCCAGCGGTCTGCTAAGAAGATCTTTCGAGATCGACGGCACGACAGGATCGTAAGAGGTCCCAGGGAATGGCTCTTGGTCCCATCTCCAAGCCTTAGGACGTGACGTACCACTCCCTCCCTCATAATCCTTCAAAACATCTTGCACATCACTGACATACGCTGAGAGGAGTAAGTTCGAATGCAGGCGCTCCCATTCCGGCACGACACGTTCCATTGCGAGCCCTACATCGAGAAGGTCTGAATCGAATCTGTTCAGGGAAACCTTCCTATCTGGCCACTGGTTGAGAAAGTGTTGCGCTAATCGTTTCCCCTCAGCTTCACATGCCTTGCGGTGCCTTGCTTCGGCCTTGTTCTGCATTTTCTGATGCTTCTCTGGGAGGTCAACAGAGATCACACGAAAGATGGACCGTATGTCAGGCAATTCGTTGAACTTGAACTGGCTGAATGAGGGGCAAGATGGGGGAATTGAGTTCCTCAACTTCGGCAGGGATGCAAACGCTGCCAGGATCTTCATGACGTCCGGATCATTTCTGGGATTGAGCGACATGACACTGAGGCGGAACATCAGATTATAGGGCTCGTCGAGGTTGGAGTGGCGACAGAGGTTCACAAGTCTCCCCCATTGCTCGTCGATACTCATGTCTACCAGGTCGCTCAGACTCGCAGCGTCGGCTTGACGTCCCTCATGGAAGCCGCCGATAAGCTGCCAATCCTGCAGTATCGCAGAAAGCTCTCTACGTGTGTCAATGCGGAAGGGTCGCTTCCGGAAGAGGCTCGCAATATAATAAACATTACGTGCTTGCTCCGAATCAGGTTCTTGGCCACGCGATTTGTACATCCGATCACTAGCTGCTGTTCGATTCGTGCCGTCGAAAAGGCGCTCATAGAGGCGGCGCCGCGTAACACCCCGTTTCCGAAGGTGAGACGGCTCGTATACGCTGATGCTATCCTCCGCTGCATTCTGAACAAAGAGCCGCAGACAATCCGACTTATCGAGTATGTTCTGGACAAGTCCTTCGTATGCATCATGTTGAATGGTCATGGTCAGCCTTGTGTTCCAGGAAATCGCCTGCAGTGCCTGCTTATGTTGCGGATAGTATTCTCGCTTTGGGCTTAGGTCTGCGATTGTTTGGAGAGTCGCGACCGCTGCACCTCCCAACGGTTCCCATGGTTGGCATTGACCCGACCGGAGCATGTGCAATGCTTCCTCAGTGCCGGTACGGCCAGTCAACGAATCTGGTATGACAAACGATGTATATGCATGAAATTGGGCTTTTGCATACAACAACCGCGGCTCGAGGGGACAGGACAATCGTCCAAGCACGTCATCGATCCCAAACTTTGCGAAATCAGTGCCACCAGCCGCTCGAACGACCACATGCATACCACGGCGTATAGACGATAATGGCCCAAGAGGCATGATTACGCTACGGCGCCTGCTGTTTACGACATCGCGCAGTACGATTTTGCTTTCAAGACCGTAAAGCGTGCCGGCATCTTGGTCGGGGTCTATCTCCTCGTCCAATTCTCGACACTGGAGAAGTCCTTTCCGGTTTACGAAGAACGAGAGTGCCAAGTGGCGGAGCTCGACGGAGAGCCTCCCCCTGGAATTGGCGGGCTGGAAAACGGTAATCTTGTGCGAATCTTCAAAGTGGCGAAAGAGGGTTGCAACTTGCTTGAAGAGGGGAGAATTGGGATCGATCAATAACGTTCGGTCGTTCCGATAAGCTTGCCGTTTGATAAGATCGATCCTCCAGTCACTCTTCCTCGTCTTCCACAGAACAGGCTTGCGCCGAATCTCAAGACATCTTGTCTTCAGATTCAGCCAGTGCGCGCAATTGGAGACGAGGGCAGCCGGAAGGTCAGCAGTCTCGAGCCCAACGAAATGGCGAGAAGGAATATATTCCAGCAGCTCGTCTCGAGTCCAAGCGCGGACGACGACGCGCCCGTTGCGAGATCCAAAATGTATTTCGTGGTTGTGTATCCGCGATGCGAGAACATACGACATGCCGAACGCAGCAGACGGAAAGGTGAGAAGATTCCTGTCGCCAAAGAGCTCCCTTACCTCATCTGACTCTCGGAGGTCGCGTGGAAGTCGTCCCAGAGGTTTCCCATCGACCAGTAAGTGACCCTCCATGAAGTTGTAGTGAACTACTTGAGTGTTTGCTTGATCCTTCATCGAAGCCTGCATCCAACTCACTACCCACTTATCATGTATCGCTGAGACCTGCTGCCAATCACGGAAGGATTTCTCAGCTGAACCTCCCGGTTCCGACCATGAGGCGTTGATAGCCGTGCCGATACTTCGAGGGTGGGCTCTTATGGATTGCAGCAAACGTGATTTCATTCTGTGAGTCATCTTGGTGTCTCGGATCAACATCCTCTTCAGCGCTGGTGGTAGCTTGGCCACATCCACAAGGAGATTTTCCTGAAGAGCCAATGACGCTTGAACAAACGTTGACAGATCGTCCTCTGACATGGCAGCGTCAGACTTTCTGATGTTAGAAAATGTCCTGCGGCAGAGCAACGCAGCCCAGAAAGCGTACCTTGCGGCTGTTTCGGCGACGGAAGTTTCTTTGGCATTTCTGACATCGGTTCGTAGACGAGCGATCCAAGTCAAGGTGATGCGACGCGCCTGCGCCAAGAGATCGTCAGCTCGCAGCATGGGGGCTGTCAAGTCGTACAGGCGCAGACCCAGCGTGATCATGACCTCCATACAGTGAACCTCGCGCCAATTTGACGCGATGTCGCTGAGGCGCTTCTCGACTTGTGCGGCTAGACATTCACAGAACGATCTGTCCTTGAATACCGCGTGAATGGCGCCGAGTGTATCTTCGCCAATCTTCGCCGGCCCAGCTTGAGTAGCCAGGTGATTGAACATATGCATAGTGCTCTCGTTGCTGAAGTTCACATTTGATGCGCCTAGTTCGACCAACAGTGTCAACCATCGTCGATGATTGCCTGAGAGTAGTCGCTGACAAGCCGTGAACTCGTGCACGGACAGGCTAGACGGACATTTTGTCTCTGATGCGACGATTTCGTAGGACGATGGCCCAGTTGCCACTGTGGGAGGGTGCGGCGAGCTCGGTAACACGGAGCTGCGAAGTCCAGGCGGCACATGTACTCCGCACTCATGTTGGAAAGTCAATGGTTTATCGAAGTCCTTGAGCCAGGTGTTCGAAGCGGTGTCAAAGTAGGAAAAGTTCAGCCCATTGGGGTAGAGTACATCGGACTCGGATGCCTTCATCCTCTTCTTACTGACCATGTAGTGCGTGCCACGGAATGACTTAGACGTTGACGCAATAGTGATGTTGGTGGAGTGTTTTGATGCATATGACGTGAGGGGGTCGTAATCTCTCAAGAGTTTAGTCGGCGATCCAGACTGCGGTTTGGCCGGATAAGCCAACACGATGATTCTCCATGTTGCACTCCGATACGCGGCGAGAGACTTTGGTATGTCCAACTCAAAGACGACTGCTGATGCTTTGATCGGATCGCTTGGGAGGAAGTCCTCATGCGCATAGATCTGCATGCGGTTTCGAACTCGCCAGTGCCAGCATTTGGTGCAACCCCTTACGTCCCGCGTCCCATCTTGCTTGAACGTGCAGGTGCATGTACCTCCAGAGATCCCCAAAGAATGTTCGTCGAAATCAGACCACCATTTCTCCAACTCTGACTTCTTCGCCTGACGTGACGCCTCGGACGCTAATTCTATCCGTCGGTGCAGTCGCTGCATTGATCTAGAGGTCGAGACGTATCGCACCACAAAGCTTTCCCTCTCAGGTACAGAGAATATTGTCGTCTGATGCTTGCATTCCTCGCACCTGCTGCGAAGATAGCGCTGAATATTACGAAGCCGCCGCATTTCTGCAGCAGTCGGCAGATGCAGCGCATCCAAAAGCGCAGGAGTAAACGCTGGGTGGTAGTCCCGGATCATAGGGCAGATCTTGGCCATGTACCTGTCTAGCCTCACCCAAAGTCTAAAGAGACTCAAAATGAAGATAGACATTTGCTCGGGGTCGGACTCGTACGCTGCTCCAACACTGTCCACGAGACCGAGTATTGCACGGGCTAGCCTCTCGCAAGACGAATCGGGAGTGAGATCCTCAGTCAATTGAGGCTCCTCCTTTCTTTCGATCCTGCCCTCTAATTCAGCCAATTGGTGGTACTTGTCTGTAAAAAGCTCAACCTGCTCAATCGTAGTGCCGTGTAATGATGGAAGCTGCAATGATGGCAAGGTTCTCTTCTGCGCGCGATATGAATGCAGAACACTCTGGAGGTACGGCTCGCTGTTGGGAAGAGACAGGAATTGGGCTTGCCCATCAGCGCGCGCCGGAAGCAGGGGAACGGGTCGTGTCGTGTCTCGCTTGAACTTCTCCCAAGCGAGACTCACAAGTTGGGTAACTTGCTTGATGCTCTCCTCGAAGAAAGCTGCAGTAGTGTCAGACAGCTTGCTATGCACTTCCAATGTCTTGTTCTTTTGTTGCTCAAGTTTTGCGAGGCGACGACAGACTTTGGCTTGCAGCATCATCGTCAGCTCAGGTGCCAGCTCCCCAGGGCAGTCGCGCAGAAGCTCGACAAGCACAGTGATGATCAAGAACTTGTAGTAGACTCTTCCAACCTCGCTTCCTAGCAAGAGCTGCAGCTGTCTCTGGATACCTACACGTATTGCCATCCAGAGAGGCAACCTCCGCCACGGCAGTTCTGCGGCTTCAATAACGGCATCGTCGCGAACCCGTTTCCTCAAGCGAGGAACACTTTCGTCTACCGAGGACCCGATGGACTCGAGCAAGGGTATGAGAAGGTGCGTTATGAGCCTTGGACTTCCTGTATCTCGCGATTCGACGATGGGAGTTTGCGATTTTGTCACGAACGCCTGGAAGCATCTCAAGGGCTCCATGCTGCCCTTTTCCAGAAAGTCAGCTAGCGCGTGCTGGAACGACGGCTTCTGAAACTCAAGGAGTGGTATCTGCGCCGAGCAGTCCGGGAAATCGCAGATAAGGGCGCCTTCGCTAGCCAGGACCTCGGCAGATGGGGGCGATATCTCGAAAGCTTCGAACACAACAGCTTCGATTTGGGCACTGTTGCAAAGCAGATCAGCTGCAGATTTCATGCCACATTGGGGACCATAGGCGGCTGGCATACCTGGCATGATAACGAACGATCAGCGCAGCGTTCTGTTCTGCGACATGCAAAAGAAGCGGTTGCTCCTGGTCAAAGTTGCGAAGCTTCGAGGTCAGCGACAGCTTCTCGAGCCGACCGTGTATATGGAGAAATTGATAGCGATGAAGATACTGACGAATGGCGTGCCAGGGAGAAATTGATAGCGATGAAGATACTGACGAATGGCGTGCCAGGGAGATGTTTGTTCGTGGCCAGCGAGTCGGCTCAGCGTATCCGTAGCATGAACGAGTCGGACGACGATGTCATCACCGGTGCTTTCGACGTTGGCATCCTGTTTGCCAGGAAGCTGTGGTGGCAGGACGAGGTGGTTGAACACTTCCTTCAACACAGACATAGCGAAAGATGGGAATTCCAGAATCCAAGACGAAAGACTCAAAACTCAGTCGACAGCAGGGGGAACTTTCACACAAAGTCCTTACGAGCAGCTAGATACGTTGAGCATATAAGCCAAGTCGGAAGTAACTGCAGGTTTAGCGCTGCTACGTGATCGTGGCGTATACAAAGTAAGCAAGACGGCGACACGCCAAGCCATGCAGCCCAATAGAGTCAAACCCTTTGATCGAGTTGATGAAAAGCAGATATTCGCTTGTTGTGCCACAATGAGTGATTTTCGTGATTCTTCTGGGTGTTGCGATTAGCATGCATCGTTGTTGGCGTAATAGCCATTACCCCGCCGACAATGGCCAATGGTTACGGCAAGGATGCAAGTGACAATGCAGAGGGGCCTCAGTAGCTCAAAACAAAGCTTGCAGTACGATAAGTTGGTACGTAACGAGTTTGGTTTCCATTTTGATCACGATACACAACGTCAAACAGCTTTCCGCGTGAGCGTGGGGCCTACTTACGGCTTCCTGATCAACGTATCTGGTAGCGAAGGCGGATCTTGTCGGTCAAATCAAGAAGATGACACTGTGATTGCGCGACAGTGGGCTATTGCTATCTCTGCATCGGCGCTCTTACGTCATGTAGATATCCGTCAGATCTGGTGCGAAGCTTGCATCCGTTCGACAAGACGCATGGTATGCTCCCTGGCCCAGCATGAAAAAAGCACTATGACAATCTTCCATGTCGGTAATCATTAATAACTCCTCATGAGTCTGCGTGCCAAAGCACAGGCGTAGAGAGATAGCCAACGATCGCCAACAAGTGGTGATCAAGATGATCTTCAAAGGCAAGCTAGACTCCTCATCAGTTTGAAAAACTATCATCCACGACAATGAGGGACAACTTAACTTGGGTTCTGCTTGCTCTTGATATCTTACCCACAATGACACGCGATTCGATGATGTGCTGATCTGTTCGCTGGACCCTGCCATGCTGCAAGCCAACCCAAACACTGTGCCTGATAACATACAGTGTTCATTGCTCACACGACGATCAAAGCATCCTTTGCTCTGTACGGAAGACCGTGTCATTCGCCGAACATAGCTCACATGCTCTGATACCCGTGGACATTTCTACTGACAAGTTTGCTTTCCCAACAGCACACGACTAAGTGAAGTATGCGAACATGTAGCTTGTGTATGCAATTCGTGCCTTGAGACACACGTATAATAGCCCGCTGAGACATCAAGATTGTCGGATAGTCCTGATGACTAGTATGGGACTTTGATGCTATGATGATACCAAAGGCATATCTACCTGCTTCCCATCCACACGTCCGATCGCTCGGTTTTGGGTTTGCACTCCACCGTCGCTCTTACAATATACCCTGACAAAGCTGATGCATTGCTTTCCGCTTTCTCTGTACCCAATTCTGATGATTTTGATCAACGAGTTGTGCTGATGCAGCGCATTCGCTAGAACACGATGAGTTGCGTGACTTGTTCGTTGCCGCCGTTGCAAAGCGTTTTAGCGTGCTGAAGTCAATCCGTCCTTTGGCAATCGAATCATGACGTCTCTATTTGAGTACACATCTGGCGGCCGGCCTTCTACCCAGTGCGCCGCATATATCTGATAGGAGAAACACCTGCAGTCATGGACTGACTTACCCATATCTCGGAAACCGAGGCGGAGAAACATCCAGACGACACACATACACAGTTGATATGGTTGAGTCATTCCATTTTCCTGCCCTTGTTGCGACGGAATCCATAATTTTGCGTCTGTCTAACCCACAGCCCTGCACGACGCATGCAAGCGACGAAGTAGACAGACAAGCGATGCATATCTTATGATGATATCTACCTTGGAACACCCGTGCGAAGACCAAGATTACTTCCGAGTTCTCCTTTTTACGCCATTACAGTTCCACAACGGAGTTGTGCACACAGAGTGAGTTGCAGAGATAAAATACTGAAGTGCAGGATATCGCGTGACTGGATTCTGTCGCTGCCGATAACTTCGAATCAATTTGAATAGAATATGATAGTCGTCACTGTTGAGTTAGCACGCATTAATAGCGACAAACTGCGGGACGGAGCGGAGTGTATATGGCACTTAGGCGGGCGAAAGATGTCAAAGTCAGTTTGCAGTCACTCTTATCAGTTCATCGACTCATCAATAGGAGCAGTGCTGTTCTCGGAGCGCGCGCTTTGGCATATTGACAGCTTGGTGCTGTTCTGTTGTGCTGTGATGCTTTGAAGTAGACGCTAGTGGTTTCCCATTGTCACGGGAAATGTCGACGCGTGCCCGTGCGGCCCCACGTACCGGCGGCTACCAGCGAAAGATCGCGCGGCACTTGACGTGATCCGCACAACGAAGCGAGCCTAGAGGGGAGCGGCTGCAGGGTACTGCTGTCGCTAGCGGGTTCCCTTTCTCTTGAACATGTCGATCCAATCCGATCACAACAGTCATCAAGGCTGTCGCCAGCACGGCTGGCTTCCAGGTGCTTTATACGTAAGACAAAAGCTTGTAGAGTGAAAGCACAGCGTCAAGTGTTCACATGTGAAAAGTAGCGTCGTCGGGAACGTCAAACATAAACGAGAACTGGACGAGGACCCTGACTTTGCGAACGAAAGAACAGTCCCAGATTCGGCGCCGGAAGTGAGGCTCATTGGCAGATTCTTCATTGTGGACTGTGGACCCAGGGCAGCTTGCGACAAGCGAAAACGACCCCGCACAGTGCTTGGCCTTGGTTGCGTGCCAAGATCAAGCATAATTTCCCCACCAACGCACTACACCCTCGATTTGACGCACCACAACGCATTGAAAATCATCACTTTAGCATTTCCAGTCGTCGCATTAGTTTTTTTTTTCCCGAGGAGATCCTTTTTGTTCGAAAACTATCGACATATACAATGATGATGGCACAAGGACATCAAACAGTTGAAGGGGTTTGCTAGCCGATGCTGACGCGAAAAGGAAAATCAACCAGTAGTGCAGCCTGAAGCTGTCATCTGTAACTTGACAGGTCAAGTAGCCAACGCGCTATTCCCTTTGCAGTGACTTGCGGAGAGGAACGTTCGCAACCCCTAGCTCGCGTTGCCATGGACACTTCATCGAAACTACTGTTGAATTTCGATGGCGAAGATCAGTCGCACATTGAGGCCATCTTGGCTGTATGGCGATACACAAGAGATCTTGATTTGGGGGTATGGTGTGATGCAAAGTCTCAGTATTCGCACGTGCTACTATTGCATCGTGTTTGTTCATCCCACTACTGACATTTACATTGAAACAAGACACACTCACATTGCATTGCTTCCTCATACGCGACTGGAAAATTTTGTCTTCGATGAGTAAAAGAGACTTGGATAAGATCCTTCGAACCAATAAGCAAAGAGGAAATACGCGATGTTCTGCCAAGGCTGTGTGCGTACCGGTAGGTGATACAGTATGGGAACATCACGCCTACCGGTATCTCTATACGATGAGAAGCCAAGTCGCCCGTCGACAACTATCCACAAATAAGATCATCCCACAATCATAAATATAACAACGCGATCGAAGAACGTGTCGGTCCGGGCGGCTAAACATCACTAGTGAACAGTCGTGGGACTCTCACGTTGTGGCGCGATCGTGGGTCGCTAGCGGCAAACGAATAGGTTATGTCTATCGGCTCGCCTACGCTGGACTGTCGATCATCTTCAAACATACGGGTGCACACTATCGAGGCTCAAATCGCATTCGCATGCAGCTGGTTACACATTGTTCTGTAACGGTAAGTTGCAGACGTCGACTAGGATGGGGACAATGTGGCAGACTCTTATTAGAGCATGACAGCGCCACCAGTGGTAATGCAATTTGTACACTTGGTGGGCTATACGTTCTCATCTCTAAACGGAAAACACAGGTTTGACAGGCTGGAAGTCTATTGCTCAAATTCGTTCGCATGATCGACCGCAGGATATATCGGAGACCATATCTGCCGGGTATAAAGTGTGGTAACGATGGATTGGAGCTGAAGCGTTCGTCATGGCGGCATTGAATTCGATGCACAGCATCCAACCACAACCGGTTCTACGACTGTAACCGAACATATAAATGCCACGACCATATCAACAGTGGACTGGTCATCGCTAATCCCCAGAACCCTGTGCAACCTGAGACATTTTTCACATCAAAATGCCGCCCTCTGACCTCAATACCGGTGGCGCTTTTGACAACAGCGGAACCAAGTCTACCCCAATGACTTCATCTGATGCTTCCAGGATTCAGTCATCTCAGGTCAGTACCGCAAGTGATATTTCCGACTAGCGCTGAATGCTAATCTGGGTTCAAGGCTCTCGGTGGGAAGGACATGTCTTCCGGCGGTTTTGCGACGCGTGCTCAGAGTGCTGGCGCTAAGAATGGAAACCAGGCGGGTACTAGTAAAAGGTAGAATGACATCAAGCAACGATATCTCCAGAAGTCAGATCATGTTGGTTTGGCACGCTCTCACTCGAATGTCAATACACGGCTTGCAATCTAAGGATTTCATCACAATGCAATCGTCTCTTCGCAACAAATGAATTTGCAACGTGCTGGCGCATCTTATGCTATAACACTTACTGAAGATTTCTTGGAGTTCACACTTTGATGGTTTGCGATCTGCTCCTTTTCTCAAATGGTAAGAGCAAACTGGCTGATACCGCTTCGTCAGAGGCGATAAGGGCTGAGCAGCGGTAAGTTGCGCTCTTAAGCTGCAGACGCCTGGGCGCATACGTCAAACAGGAGGCGACCGGACGCAGTAGAAGTTGCCTCTGGCACACTTGAGTGCGGGCTTCTTGGCAAGGTCCTTCAGCGTTCGGAAGATACAAAGTTGAGCAACAAAGCTCGCTCATCTGCGCCGCATGTCTGCAGTGCTTATATTCTGCTGTAGGGTGACGAAAAATGTAAGCGCGTCTCCTGTGTCACATGACCGCTTCATCGCACTAGTCCTAATGTGACCATTACAACATGTACATTTGGAAATGACCTCTTTCGGCTAGCGCACAGGTTCACCGGATTCGTTTCTCTCTACTATACCAGTCTACTCTGCATCGCCATGGTGTACGGCGCAGGCTGTCTCCAACACAGAGATGGGATAGAACCGTTCGGCTAGCGCAGTGCATGGGTCATCAGATCTCACATCCGTCAGCTCTTTGCTTGGATATATACGCAGTTGGAATTGCACACTTGCTGTCAAGCCATAATGCAGCCGTCGAATTTACACCCCAATGTGTGCTGGCTAGCTTGATCAGTGATGTACGGCGGCACAACCCATACAATCAGTAACCTAATCCCGACATTGTAAGCAGTCGGCAAGAATAAGTCGACTAAGAACGAGCAGCCTGCAGAGAATCAAACAATCACGGACAGCCATGATGTGTAAGCTCAGACTGATTCTACGAAGTGCCAGATGCTGCTCATGTACCGATGCTTTCGACGTACTGATCCAACGCTGAACCTCATGTAGATTCCCCTCAAACACAGGGCTATACAGTCACCCAAAGCCGATGAGCTTCTGGCGTCCCGTGATAAAGTCGTGGACATGCTTCTGGACCATTTCGAATCGCACAAAGTTGCAGCTCTCACTTTCGAGATGATTGAATAGCGATGCTAAACGGACGAACTGACCGGTGCAGTCACGGTTCGGGCAGTGATACAGCTTTTCGCTATGGGCCGGCGAGCTCAAATGCTGGTTCAACCCTTGAAGATTACGAAACTCTCGGTGGCAGAGGTAGCACTCATAGTTGAAGCCGTTCCAAGTCGCACCTGTTGCAATATTCTGTGTACCAGAATCGGGGTAGGTAAGTAGCTTGTTCGTTACCAGACCACCACAGTCCCGCTGACTGATGGCCTGAAATATCGTTCGATGATTGGAATTCCCAGCTCGTGGACATGAGCCAGACTCGAGGTGGTGTGAAAGCCCGCTAGCCGAGGTCAAGGCAGTCTTGCAGAAGGGACGGGCAACATTCCTGCCGCGATGGGTGCTCGAGTTTAGATGCTTGCGACAATTAGTAATGCCTGATTTGAAGGTATAGACCAACCGTGTAGTGACTGTAAACAATGTACCATTCTTAATGCGTTCTCGTTCCGGAACGACTTGGCGCAGTCGCGGCAGTGGTATTGCTTGTAAAGATCTAGAGCGCTCATGTGCTAATTGGCAGACAACTCCGAACGAAATCTCCTGTCACAGACCTCGCACTCGAACTGAGGCTCCCAGTGTCCCGTGTCGTCCATGTGTTGTTCCGCCGAGCGTCGGGTGAGGAACTCTCGATCGCATGCGTCACATCCGAATCGTGGACCCAGTGGTCAAGTGCATCCATGTGCTGGATGGCGGCATGCTGGCTGCCAAACTCCCGGTCGCACGTTTCGCATTCGTTGTCGTAGTACATGTTGGATTGTCTGCTAGCTGTCGAAAAGTCGAGGTTCAGTCAGACAAAGAATGGTCGATTGACGGACCCCCCAACAGTGAATGTTAGCCAGCGGGGTAACGCGACCTAAACGTGGCTGCCTCATCTCTTATTGAGCGAAAGGTGCGGGGTCAGCCTGTGAGCTGTCAGATCGCTTGCACTTGCTATCTTTCCACCGTTCATTTTTTGTCTGTTGCGGTCTGTTAGGGCCTTTATCCTGATCAGGCATGGTGTTTATGATCCAAAACAAGGCTTGACACCGCCTGGGCCGAGCTTCCGGCATTAGCGTGGGGTCGCTTGCGACTGCTCACGCCATCCTTGAAGCCAGGAGCTATGGAGTCAGACCGAGGCTGGACTAACATCTTATCGCTAGCTTCTACAGTCATTCCAGCCGATCGGTATGTGGCGTATTGGAGTACATGGTAGGCCTCAAGTGCGCGCCACCATGATCGGAGCATGCACCCGCTAAGAGGTCTGGCTCCCTCTTTGCACAACAGAGAAGTAGTTGTTGATGCATCTGTAGTGCCTACAGTACTGGCTGGTAGACTGTTTGATGCCCACTCGTGCAGCAGGATAACGCTCTCCTTCCTTTGTCACAGCCGTTATCTTGCGAGGTTATGCTACTGCCTGGTCGGAGACGTGTCATCTGCTGCAAGTGGGTGCGCCACACAGCAAGTCTCTGCCAGCACAAGACAACCTTATCGTTCATCTCCATGAACTGGTAGTTGTAGATAAGCCGTTCTGATATCGCCATCTGATTGTCTCCACGCTTTTGATGCGAAGCACACGAGCTCAATCTCTGATCAGGTCAGACTATAATTCCATCGTCGACCTTAGCTCGAACCTGGCAAAGTTTTGCGACTTATCGCTATGCCTCTGCTGAGTGTCGAGGCAACACTTTACCTCTTTCACCATATCATGCTGCCTCCAGAGCTGCCACAGGAGAGCGACTGGAAGGCAGAGTATGAAGATGCACTACTCGACACGACAATAGAAGTTTTCCGCACGTTCGCCGAGATGGTACGGACTGAGCAGCTACAAGTAGCTAGGTATGTGCATAGACGTTACTGTCTTCTAGAAAACCCCGTTGAGAGTACTTAGGAGGATTTCATACTACTTTCGTATCTAGCACCTATTTGTGTAAGCCTTAGGAAGTACCTTCGCAGACTGTCAGCTCCTGATCTGAGCAGTCTATAATAGTACATCAGCTGATATGTGATCTTGTCTTATAGTCACATAGATCTCGTGACATCTGCAGTTCAAAACCTGCGTCGCATTCGCGACACGGACGGATTTATTAGTGACTCCTGACTCGCAGACTTACTCTATGGTCTGGCCTCTAGTGAGACGTTAGGGACAATCTCTATTGAGATAAAGACACAGAATGCGGCGGTCATCGTCAGGAAACAAGAAGCTGGTACTGATGTTGTCTTTGAGGGGTTCGAGCTGTTGCCGCCAAACGAGACTGTGATACGAACAAAGGGTCGACTTAAGCGCTCCTTTCTGACTTTTGCCTATTGAATACCTTTCAAACAGTTCTAGGAGCGAGGTCTAATTGAAGCATTAGCACAAACGCTTGGAAGGATAAGCTGGGAAGAAGCTCCGGGCTTCCAGCCTCAGACAGACAAAGAGTAGCAAGACCACTATGAGACTCACGATACCATGCACCTAGGCTTGATTACTGATTTACTCGTACACTTCCTATCCGTCATCAGCTAGCCTAATGACTTGCAGGGTGTTTAAAAAAACACTCACGAAGATGTCCTATGCAAACACAGCTCCCCACTATAGAGAAGATTTGCCTTGTGGCTCCTTGTCCGCACAACTATGCAGCTCTAGATCGCTCGCACGTCGTCTATGAGCGTATACAAGGCTGTCATAGTGAAACTGTTAGCGAGGCTTCTCTAAAGTGTAAAAGCACATTACAAGATAACAGGTATGTAAGGTTAATTTACGTGTTAATGTGCTTTTCGATCCTATGTTGCTATCAGTTGAGCGTGATTATTTCTGTTTTAGAACCTGATGACACGAGCCTTGCTGTTAGCCGAGCAGTACTAAATTGCCCGAGTAGCCTGCTAACGTGTTGTGCGGGACTCTAGACATCGACCTAGTGCACATCACCTCCGCCAAATTGACCGGCCGCTTACAGAAGGTGAGGAAACTGATTCCCAGACCCTTCTTCGATCTCTACACTAAGTCAGCCCAAACGCTCGTAGACTAGGCACGATTATCCATAGTCGCTAGGATCGACCGCGTAACGAACAGCGCAGGTAGATGTATAGATATAACAGTGCTCGCAGATCTCTAGCCCTACAACGAGCTTAACATCTGTATCCCAGCAATAAACGACTTCGTTACAAAAATATCTAGTAGAACACGTCAAACTGGTGTATCAAATTTTCAATCGACTTCAAAATGCCTAGTATGTCCCAGGCATGAGCTGCTCACCAGCTTCAGCGGCTCGGGAGAATACACGCGCTTCTACTTGGCGACAGTGGAGAGATAGGTCGAAGACCACCTTTCCTCTTAGACTGAGCGACACATGTCCGATAACACGTCCTGCGAGAAGCTACGACAGCTTCTGCAAGAGTATTTCCACCAGGCAAGCTCTTCATACAGCACCGCAAGCGATATACTAGGGAGTCTATCTATCGCGTATCTCACTGTAATGGAGTTGTAAGTTGCATGTGGCAAGTGCGCTTGTAGGATGTATCTATTACTGTACGACTTCAATCCAGAGGTGGAATTGTCCTCTTTCAATTCGCTTTCTTTGCCCTTCGAGAGTCAATTGGGGCGGCTGTTGGTCGCTAAGGCCTACCTGCAATGCCGCCGAAGAGATGCGAGGGCTGATGCTCTATCTCTCTACTGCGACTTTGGGTTTCTATCTTCGTTCGCAGTTAGGTTTTCTGATGGATCTCTAGAATATTATAGGTTGCTCTCAGATATTAAGCAGCAGGCAACGGTAGCACGTCAAGAGAAGTGCTGCGAGTTGGCTCAGAAGAAACAACAGCATTACGACCTTGTAGCTGCGTCTGATAGGCGTGACTGCGACTACTAAGTGGTTTACAACGAGTACTACGGATTAAGCAGTACTGAGCATGCACCCTGGTGCAGGAAATGTAGCTTACGGACTCAAGCTGAGCAACTCGAAATTTATGTCCATGAATGGCCGCTTTATTTAGACTAAGCGATCGCAAAAGGAACAGTGTTTGAACTACAAATCCCAACGACCTATAGTCACCAGCGCGACGCGGCAATGCTCTTACGAGTGGAAATGCTAGGCTTCATTCATGCCAGAACTACAGAACCGAGAGCGAGATACGATCTCTACACGCAAGATGGGTTGAGTAGTTTTTGGACCTCCCCGTCCGATCGGCGTGTTTACCTTGAATCCGAGGTCAAGCCACTCACAGGGAGCCATTGCAGCGTCAAAGAGGGTGTTGACTTCCTAAAAGAAAAGGAAGTCTGTGTTGAAAATGCACTTCAATACCAGTACTTCGACAGCTCGTACAACACCTTCATTACCATTCTGGATTCCAGTCAACAAGTATCCAAAAATTGCACATACCAACTTCCGTCTCGCTCGTCCCAATTTCAAGCTTACTTGAGGTCACCTACCATATTGAATGTCATAACCCCGAACCAGGTGATTGCACGCTTGTCCGATTGCCCCCCGCACTTCTCTTTGGTCGAATACAAGACCTTCAGGTGTCTTCCTATTGGGTACAGAATCCAGTATCAGAATCTTCTGGTGCAGCTTGCAATGCCAACTATTGACTTGAATAAGATCGAGACGCATTGCTTGCTTTTGCAGACCATGCACCGCGCAGGTCCGCCTACAAGCAACAACAAGCTAGAGCGTGTTGCCCACGAGATCCTCATGGATGAGACGTTCTTTCGAGCCCTTGTGGATAAGATCGAAACGGCTCTGAGGCGCATCAGCGAAAATTGGGAGACTTGGAGAGCTGTCGCCGCTCTAGTGCAGGTAATGTTGCGAATACTCAGCATCAATGCTTCGGATCAGATTGCCACAAGATGTACGCAGCTGCTTCAAGAGGCTCGTGTGATATCATTGGAATGGTTGACTCGCCTCAAGAAACGGCTCCCTACAGTAATAGACGATCTGCAGCGGAAAGAGCTCTCTTCCAGACTTACCGAAATAGGTTTCCTGTGTACGAATACATTCGACATCGACGGAAGATTCCTAAAAGACATCCTTTGTTCCTCTTCAAGAGTTTCGGTACTGCTTCAGGCTTCAATCGTGGTGCAAGAGAACAAAGATGCCACATCTTCGGAGCACGAGTATCTCCATCGCGCTATGCTGCAGTCGTGGAGATCACTGCTTCCTCGAGCTTTGTCAGTGCTTACCAGAGAGATATCTTCTGACATCGTACAAGAAGGTCTCAACCGAGCTGTGGCGGCATTGTGGGCAGTCTTTCGCCCTACAAATCACTGGAGCGTACTTGAGGATCCTCAACACCACTGGGTCCACGTCGAGTACGATGCACAAGCTGTACACCTCAGCCTCCTTACCGCTGAGTTGCTCGTGAACGGGCTGCCACTTTCTCGACTGCCAGTGCAATACTGTCAACATCAATTGTATGCTTCGCCCCTCGACAAGGTGCCTATAGAGGTGACATCTGCTGTAGAGCCAGGCATGGAGTTTTCTGCGATGCACCCCTTCCACCCCAAATGGTGTTACAACCTCAATTTCGGAATGAAAGGCTCGAATATGCTTATCCTAGCTGCTCGAGGTGGAACGAAATTTGATCTTGTCCTCTCTCGTGTATTCGAGGATCGACTTCCGACAATGTTCGTTGCTGACTACTTCCACTGGTATGACCATGATACCGGGAAAGTAGAAATTCGCCCCCGAGGCGATTCCTGGGCTTCAGTCAGTGGGCTGTGGCGCCCGAAGAGATATGGAGCTAGTTGGCGCCTCTAGAGGGTAGACACCTATCTGGTCAGTCCAGCAAGCAATACTGGCAGCACAATACCGAACATCCTGTCGCCTTTGGAGCTTCCGTTGCACATTCATATCTTGTCTACAAAGTCTTTTATTCTCTCCATAGAGCTTCCCCGGCGACGACTAGGCTTTCATCATAAGCAGGGCGATTCTAAGATCCCTTCGCATGAATATAAGGGAATGGTCATCGATACCGATCAGCGAATGGGAACGATGTCTGGACTGGCCAGCGTACTTGTTTTCAAGGCTGAACAGGGAATCGAGCATCGCTTGGCTCTCATAGCAGAAGGCGTTGTGGCATATTCAAGGACAACGACGGGGCATGTTTCTGTTTCGACTAGATTGGACGCGGTTTGTGCGACCCACGCGTATCAGGTAGACCAGCTTTTGGGACGGCTGATAGGCAACGGAAGTTTGCAAAGCAAGCTCCTCCTGTGCTACCTTCATGCACTTACTTCGCACTGCCTGCCAGACATCCTGACCGGCTATACTGGGACTGAGGCTGCACTACTAATCTTACAGTCAGGCGCAGTATCATCCTTCGACGTGCTGACAACGGCCAATATTGGCCTCCTGGAGTCCATCGCTCGACTGACACCAGGACGGATGTTCTATCCTTCTCATAAGGAGGTCACGCAAGAGGTCCATTGAGACAAAAACATATCCTCGTTGTCCCGGCTTCTATACGGCGGTCGACAGACTGTTCTCCATATCAAAGAGAACGAAGCTGCTTCATTCTAGCGACATCTATGTAGATCCACCGAAGCTAGACTTTCTGAAGCTTCACCTGCTTGAGAGAGACACGATAAGAACATCGTCTGTCCGCGTCGATGGCTTTGGCGCAGAGTACCATACCCGTACTTTTAATCAGTGTTATGAAGTCAGAGCTAGCGTTGCCGACCCGCAACGGGGACCGCGTGGTGCCGTTGCCGCTGAACTGATTTTTCGCAGGCAGGCTACTCTCCACTCTCCTGTCCACGCGCATAGCCTCGTGAAATCCCTTCGAACAATCCATCTGCATGACGCCACAGTCCAAGGTTACAACGCATTATTGGAGCCACCCACGCTTCGTTACAACGCTTCATGGCTCGTGGAGCCATCTTCCTTCCTCCCAGACATGTGGTGCAACCTGCACTCATGGCTTGCGACAACGCCATGGCATTATAACAAGTTCGATCTGATGATTTGGTTGTCAACTGCAGCGTTCACGGAATCCGCAGACATGGATGTCATCCAAGCCCTGGCCGCATTCTATAATTGCTCTGATCTAGCGCCAGTCGAAATCCCTTCGGACGCCAGATTCGACTTAGCAGAAGGAGATTCTCCTGCTTTATCTACCATTAAGAATCTGGTACAGATACATCAACCTTACGAAGTTTGTCCTGAGTATGACTTACCGCAGCTGCCCGGCGAGCAGTATTGGCAATGGGACAGGAGAAGAAGAACACTTTTTGAGATGCATCAAAGCAACGCTGCCAAGACTGTCGCACGCGCACTCCACAACCAGTGGCCCTGTGAGGTACCAAGTACACCACGTACTCAGTTTGCGGAAACATACCTGAATACTGAGAGGGCTATGTCGGAGGTTGGGCGAATGTTCAAAATCTGGTACGATAACCGTTGCTTTTATCGATACCTTGAGAACATCTCATCGACTCTGGCACGACAAGATGTTGACCCTTTGAGGATTAGAGACAACCGCGTCGCTTATGTGCGCGAAAACTGTAGAGGGATACATAAATCCTCTTTCTACAGTGTCAAAGACATCTTCGGCTTAGAGGCGCCGGCATTAGTTGCATTTTGTAAGTCTACCCCAGCACTGTACACTACAGACAACTCGGATACGCGTTTACTGGGTGCGCTTCATCAACTTCTTAACGTCGTCCTCTCCCACAAGCTATACTAATATGATGTATAGCATCGAGCCCTACCGACTTGTGCTTGTCAATGTTGCCGACGCCGCTCCCAAAGTTGACAGAGCAGCGAGCCAAAGACAAAGGTATCGATCAAGCCAGGATGCGGCTCACGTCGCTTTTCCGAAAGCTTAGACCCGGTGCAAAGTCTCTACGTGAGAAGGATTACCTCTTGGACTTATACGCAAGTTGCGACTCGCTTGCACTCCACAGAAAACCACCCCCAATACGTGCGGACATGACACAAAGCGAGCTCTGCAGGCTCGTGGAGAGATACGTGCACGATTGCCAGCAGTATCTTGATGATACGAGCTCCATCCTACAAAACCATATTCACGCAGGCGATGGGATTGCGGTCAAAATAGGCCAATCACCCCGAGTCTCCCCCATATTCTGGCTTCGTCAGTTAAATAGAGATCGCTTCGATACCCTGACTGAGGCTTGGAAAGTAGTAGTCATCCAGTACGGTCTTTCTTTGACCCAGCTCCAGCGCGCCAGGAGACTTCTGGCAGTTTCTCTTCACCCATGTGAGTTTGCCGAAGAGTTGTACAACCGTGGGCACCAGAATTGGAAACCCATGGAGTTTCCTGAGACGTTGCTGCTTGAGGCCGAGAGTGGTCTACTAGTCCGCGAGGTGCAGGAAGAAATCGCAAAACGGATGCGATGCCCACCGAAGCAAGCAAACTCCGTCATGCAATTCAACATGGGAAAGGGAAAGTCCTCCGTCGTCATCCCGACCATCGCTGCCTATCTGGCTCAAGGCGACTTGTGAGTGATCCTGTCCGCATTATGTACCTTTCATCGTACTGGCTCCCGCCGATAAAGGCTCGTCAGAGTCATTGTTGCAAAGTCGCAGTCACGACAGATGTTTCAAATGCTGGTCGAATAGCTCGGCGGGCTGCTCAACAGGAGAATCTACCATATACCTTTCTCTAGAGCCCTTAAACTCAGTCCCTCCGAAGCTGATGCTATTGGCGAGATTTTACAAGAATGCAGGGCTAACCGTAGTATTCTGCTCGTCCAACCTGAACACATCTTGTCCTTCAAGCTTATGGGCATCGAGTGCCTCAGCGGGCAGCCTGACGTAGGAAGGTCACTTTTGCGAACTCAGCATTTCTTCGACAGACACTCCCGGGACATTGTCGATGAAAGTGATGGAAATTCCATCGTCAAGTTTGAATTGGTGTACACAATGGGTATGTGCCGCAAACGACTGTCACTGCTGAATTTCGCTGTCTCTACCTAGAAGGATTGATCAGTATCAGCCTGCTAAGTCGCGGCGTCACATGTTTACGTCGTCTTGAGTCCTCATACTGACCTATTTTCAGGTACCCAAGCGCCAATACAGCTCAATCCAGACAGATGGATCATAATCCACTCACTCCTGGGATTGGTCACCAGATACACCGCCGATGTCAAGACAATGTTTCCCTCTTCGATTGAATTCAACAAACACCAGGCGTCACATTATCCTCGCACGCGTATTCTCCGTGGTGATGCAGAAGAAAAGCTGCTGGACCTGATCACGGAACACATATGCATGGTCGGCATCTCAGGCCTTCTTTCCATAGCGCGGCAGCCTTCCGAGATGAGACAGACTATCCTACGCTACATCCGCCAGCGTAATCTCACCCCTACAGACGTTGACGCAGTTGAAAAAGGGACTTTCTCCACAGAAACCACCGAAGGCCTGCTGCTCCTCTTGCGGGGTCTCATTGCAGGCGGTGTGCTAAGCTTTGCGCTAAAGTCCAAGCGATGGAGGGTCAATTACGGTATCGCCCGCAGCCGCAAACCAAAAACTCAATTGGCTGTGCCATACCGCTCGAAAGACAGCCCGTCGCCCCGGTCCGAGTTCAGTCATCCGGATGTGGTCATCACGCTCACGTCACTTACCTATTACTATGGCGACCTAGATGATCAGGACCTCTTTGACACGTTTGCACATTTCGAGAAGTCGGATCAATCCGATGTTGAGTACGAAATATGAGTCCGCTCGGCAAGAGCTCTTCCCGAAGCCTTCCAGCACCTCACGGGCATCAACATGGAAGATCGTCATCAGTGCATCACGGAGATATTCCCATCGCTTCGTCATTCGAAAGGTACCATCGATTGTTTTCTGTCCCACATTGTTTTGCCCAAAGCGATGAAGGAGTTTCCATCCAAGCTCTCTGCATCCGGCTGGGACGTTGGTGCCGTCAAATCTCATCCCACGACCGGCTTCAGCGGCACGAACGACTCACGTCAAGTACTCCCGCTCAGGGTCCGTTATATTGATTCCGAAAAATAGAACCACACCAATGCCCTAGTGTTGGCTTACCTACTGCAGGATGAGAATTCTGTCAAACTGCTACCGTCGCAGACAGATGCTGAGCGTCTACTGGAGATCGTCGACGCAATGGAATTGCCGACTCGGGTGATTCTCGATGCTGGTGCGCAAATATTGGAGCTCAGTAACTTTCAAGTGGTTGAAACGTGGCTTCGCATAAGCAACTCAAACGATATCAAAGCAAAAGCAGTCATCTTCTTCAACGACCATGAAAAACTCTCGGTTCTCGATCACAATGGCTGCGTTGAGCGACTGCAAACATCGCCGTTTTCGAAGCATCTGCAAGAATGTCTTGTATATCTCGACCAGGCACACACCTGGGGAACGGATTTGAAGATGCCGAAGCAATACCAGGCCGCTGTAACGTTAGGCGCAAACTTGACAAAGGATGCGCTGGTGCAAGCATGTATGCGGATGCAGAAGCTGAGCAAGGGCCAGTCAATCGTCTTCTGCATTCCGGACGAGATACAGACAAAGATTCTGCAGTGCACCTCAAAGTCGTGCAGTACAGAGATAGAAGTTTCTGTTCTTTTGGTATGGGCAATCGCAGAGACGTGGGCAGACATGCGGCGGAATATACCTTTGTGGGCTGCTCAAGGTCACCGCTATGAGGACTACAAGGATTGCTTGAACGGAGCGGAAGCAACTGTAGAGCAAGCGAAATCTTTTCTCGAAACAGAAGCGCAAAGCCTCGAAGATCGCTATCGACCTCGTCCTGGTAATCTATCCGATGCAATGAAGGATCGGGACACCATCAACAGTAGCATTCGGGAGATCCTCAAGCGCTATCGAGACTTCGAGGCAGTGTCTCTAGACACAGCAACGCTTCAAGAAGAGCAAGAGAGAGAACTCTCTCCAGAAATCGAGGAAGAGCGCGAAGTCCAGAGACCTGCACCTATGGAAGCTGAGAAGCACAAATTACACCCCGACCTTGTCAGGCTGGTGGACGCTGGGGTTTTTCCGGAAAGGTCAAGCGCATTCATACCCGCGTTTCAGACTCTGAAGTCAACGAGTGCTGCAAAACAATTTGATCTTGAACAATTCCCAGAAGACCTGCTCATGACAGCGGACTTCGAGCGCACTGCCAAGCACCCACAAGGAGTCATGTCAGACTCGTACGTCTCGGACTCGTATCTCAGGCCTTTGCAATGAATCCTCTCAGTCACGATGGGACACGAGCCCTCCGCTGACTGGTGCTTAACCATCCTTAGTCCCTTCGAAGCTGAACAACTCATCGCGAAAATTCGAACCTCGAAGCTAGTGACACTGCATCTTTACGCTCCGCGTCCTAATCGGAGCTATGGCCCACTCGATACGCTCGACCTGTATTGCGTCGGCCGTGAGTTCTCTGCAGGCATCTTGAGCCTTTGCCGAAGCCAGATCGTTCAGCTCAATCTCTTCGCCAGCCAACTCTACTTCCAGTCCTACGCAGAGTATGCCGAGCTGTGTAGATACCTGGGTCTAGCTTGGAAAACTCCTAGAGGGGGACAGAAGCTGCAGGTCGACGGATTTATTGTACCGCCTGCTAGTGTCTGGTGCTTGAACGCGAGTCCTGTACGGCTCTTGAAAGATTATATGAAGACGAGACGAGAAGGGGAGGACATGGAGAAGACGCATCTCGTTAAAGTGCTTGAGTGTGGCTTGCTGGAGAAGTGCGAAATCGATAGCGATTAGATTGGGCGCGCCACTTTGATACTTCCCCGATCTTTGTCACGCTTCATCACGCCGAGCATTAAGAACGAGATACTCGAGAAAATGTCTAGATTTAGAAACGCATGCAAAATTGAAACTAAAGATATTTGTCCAACTGAATTTCGCCTCGAAAGTAGTTCCTGGACTTCGTACTGACCTCTGCACGTCTTGTAACTTCGCACCAACGTTAGTGTAACCGTCCCCTCGATCTCATTCGTTGCTAAGAAAACTCTGTAAGGAATTGCGTGCAAAATGTATCCCCAACATCCGACAGCATACGCGATAGAAAGCTATGAGAACATGAGTATCATGGTTGATACCATAGCCATACTTGAGAGAGATCTTCCATACATGTATCAAGGCCGATAGTCAACCACGAGCTGGAGGCGTCAATATGATCAGGTTGTGATAGCACAGGAATCAGATCTCGTCAAAATAATCATCAGTTCCTGATCGGTAGTAAATCTCGAATTTCCCCCTTTCGCAGATAGGGTGATCTACGCTTCTGACCAGTGAAGCAGGCGACTGGTTCTGTTAGACTCTCCAGCGGTGTACCCTGATGCTACGGACGATCTTCCGGATTGGATATCATGGATGTAATGTACCAAGTCCGATCAAGAGACTACAATGTTACATTGTCTGGTAGGTACGCTGCACGGGGAAGCACACACTATGAAATCCTGACGTTTAGTTGCATGGTAGATATCAGTCCGTGTCATGATATCATATAAAGCTAGGCTCTTGCTCTGTATTTGCTTTTGTCGTCACAAGAAACGAAGGGGGGCTCAGTCTTCGGTAAAGCTGCTTCACTGACCTTTCTTCCTCCTCGAAAGACGAAAACTGTTAAGGCCATTAATCGTTGACACCCACTGAAAATATGCGTAGAAGCTCACGGGGTGTATGCTATCAGTTCCAGGAAAATGGTCACTGCAATTACGGTTCGGGTTGCAAGTTCTCTCACCCTGGCGGCTCACGACCGGTATCAAGCAGAGGGGTAGGTGGCCAGGATAGAACGATTTATTCCGACCTCTCTTTGCTAAATTGTTAAAGAGGCAACTACATCTTCTCCCGTACCATCAGCGCAGAGCAGAGCAGGATTTAGACGCAATCTCGGCTTTTTTCACCCAGTATCCAGACTTTCCCTATGATCTCAAGAGGAGCGTGGCGGAGGAGTTTTATCGCATGTGCGACTTCTTTGCTTGGGACAAGGACTGTGAGGAACGTAAACAAGCTCGTCGAATATTCAACGACGCCCTGGTCATACGATTTAATGGCTTGTACGGTACCGATGTCGCTGACATCGAGAACTGGCATAAGCTTTGTGTAGCCCTCTACATTGAGCCATTGCCTGACACTATTCCTCACTGCAAGAAGGTATGATTGTGGCAGCCATTCAAGAAAACCCTTTTCTAAGCATGAACAGAAGATAAAGACGATTCACGTCAATCTTGTAGATCTGGTGGACGTCTCGCGAGATGCAGTCGAGCTCTTTCCTTCTCTCGAAGAGTTGAGGGAGTATACTATTGGTAGTGGAAAGTTTTTCCCAAAGAGATCCGCCTATGCTGGTGGGGTTCTGAAATTCCTGCTACGCGAGATCTTGTGATCCTCGTACGGGTGAGACAGTACGCAAGGAATATCAAAGCACGTACACATAGTTTGCGATCGACCACAGTATGCTGGAAGTTTTGTAGAGTATCCATGTAGTTGCAATACCATCCATTCGGCAAGTTGGCTGTCACCCAGACGTAAGCATCAAAAGCGCATCACCTAAAGTCTCAGCGCAATGCGTTACATTGAGCGCTCTATTACTAACAGCGGACTTCACCTGCACCACCTTTGTCTCTCCGCCTCGATGTCAATCTGACCGTTGCTGTCGTAGTGCGTCGGACTGATCACATCCACTACCTTCTGGACATCTGGATCTAGTGGATTGTTTCGCAAACGCTAGTGTCCGTGTATGAAGCTGCTCAGCGTGCGATAGAGGCCGTTTACAACCTTGTTGTACTTTTCGTCACAAACCAGCGTTCGGAGAGGCTGGTCGTCACGACTTGAATTTTGTCTGTACTGTTTCCATTGAGCTTACCAAAACAGCCTCCACCGATTACCAAAACCTTGCTGTCTAGAGTCAAAAGCCGGCAGGTGCTCGAACAGCCACCGGCAAGCTACAAGAAGTTCAACATCTTGAGTTCCGCTCGATGCCGTGATCGGGTGGCCGATGTTGATGCAGCTTTCCTTGATCTGTTCTGGCATTGTTATGAGGCAACGTGCATTCATTATCTCGTTTCTTTCGAGTCGACTGCGAAGGTGTTGGAGCTCGTTCTCTCGTGGTTTTCATTGTCTTTGAAGCTCTGACGAGACGTTCACGTCACATTGCTGTGAACGGCTTAATGTTGCGACAGTCGATCGAAGCTCGTTGTATTGTAGTGCTAGATAATCAACGTGCTGTTTTGTGTCTTCTGCCAAGTTCGGGCTCATCAATCTCATTGAGACTACTCGTTCGTCGAGTTCTTTGACGTGTTTTTCCGTGCTGCGGGCTAGAACAGCAGTCTCATCAAGATGCGATGCAGTTTGCAACCATCTCTGTTGCAACACGAGGGAGCTGAGTTTATCCAGGAGTGTGTTTAGGTATCGCTCCGGATCTTTCAGGGATGTGAGAAGTCCCAGGGATTTGCAGAAAGTTTGTATCCCGGCGCAAAACTTCGTCCATGCTGGACATCGCTTGGCGCTCTTGTAGCAACTCCGATAGAAGGTTGCCCCGTACTTGTCAGGAATGCAAACTAGTCGGCAGACTTCGCGTTCAGTCAGTTCTGAGATGCATCGTCGGTCTTCATAGAACTAGATATCTGCCTCGTCGAGATCGCTTCGGTATGTTGTGTTTCCGTCGAAGAAGCGCATACGGTATGTGTAACGAAGAAGCGTGAAGAACCACATCCGAGTCAGCTTAAATAGCTTTGTGATTGTCTGTGCTGGATCCTTCCAGAAAGAGACTGTAGCTTGCTGCAGATTGGAGTGAACATTGTCTTCTGGCATAGGCGCAGGGTACAGGACCTCGCGAAGCCAAGTATGCTTCTTCAAGAGCGTCTGTAACAAGTATTGTCTTCGAATGCTAGTAGCCATATATGGCATTTTGAGTCTAGCTAAGGTCTTTCATCCATGGGATGCGATATACCAGAAGTCCAACGATTTGTTCGGTTTATCTGGAATGACCTCCGATGGGATGTAATACAATAACTCAGAGACCTTAGCTAGGCCGAAACATACAACTGGAAAGTGGCCCATCATCGATAAGATGTGCTGTAGTCAGCGAGACTTCGGCAGTCAGCATCGATTGGGGCAGAATGTTTCGCCTCCAGATCGACGTCGCTGGTCAGTAGGGCCTCGAGAGCCCCAGCGACGAGAGGAGAACAGCACGTATACTTGTGGCGTGTAGGCTACTGATAGGCTTTGGTAGAATACCTTGTGTTTTCTAGCAAAGTATTTAACTGACTTGCAGCTATAGGCTAAAACACGAAGTAGGTATGCAGATCGACTTGCGTCCTGGAGCACGGTCTTTCAACGGGCGCTCGACATCTCGTAGAATGACTTGACAAGCAGAGAGAGCTGGCGGCCTGTGGTATTTAGTGCACGTTTTGAACGGAAATGCATGCCTTGAACCCACTGATTCCAGCGATTCGTTATTCGATCAACGTTACTCGCGCCATCTCGTCGCCGCAGGATCAAGCGTCTTGACGTCCGCCGCTTTGGGTGCAGTGATGCCGGGTGCGGGGTCGTGGGACCAATCGCCAGGTGTCACGAGGTGTATCGATAGATCAATCATGATCATAGACCGCAAGAATATTATGCGATCTGACGAGTAGGGAACATCACAACTTTCATAATGCTATGTTAGCCATCAGAATGCACAAGCAGAATTGGCTATGCTAACATTTCAACCACTTGAACAAGTCATCTTTAGAGTAGAGTAGACTTAAGAGCATGAGTCCGGAAAGCAAATTACTCTGGTTGGGATGGAAATTACTAACGCAAAAATTCACCCATAGCAACTTGGTATCCTGTCACTTCCATAGCTCTCTATCGATACTGTCGCGTTGACCGTGGCTATGTTTTATCAAGTCCGAGTTTTCCTATCATTTGTATCGCCTCAAACATCGAAGCATCTCTGTAGCACGGTTGAGTGCAGGTATCATAGACAGAAGAATTTAGAGGAAATGTATGTGTTTTTGCTGAATGCATTGTCCTAGCTAGTTCTATATAAAAAGGTCACTGCACTGCATAAGCAGTGAAGATTTTAAGGGTAGATGTAGCAGACTCTATACGCTTACAACCAGGAGACCTCTTTGTCTACTATATCACGCTTAACGTCCTCTACCCTCCTGTTGCGAACGAAGAAATGCGACGGCTGCTTGTATACCACCCACACAAGCCTCATCCTCGGTAATGCATCCTTGGGCTTCAGCAATCACGGTCCCTTCGACTCTGACGCTGCACACGAAGATTGCACGATCTTCGCCCGAAAATACCGGTTGAACATCAATCTCAAGCTTAGAAGAGCCAATCAGGCCTTGTAGTTCATCTCTCGGATGCACAACGTCCAAAGAGCCTTCCGCCATACGTGCAGCGTAGTATTTCAGACCGATGCGCTCGAACAACTTCTCGCATTCTGAAAGATCGCCCTGCGAATCATTGAATACCGCACCAAAGACGCTTTCCACCAGGTCGGAGTAAAACTTGTCAAGGCCTAAGCGAGCCAACAGTTTCCACGGATATGTCGCACCCTCGCTGAGGATCTTCTGTATCTCATCACCACATTGTTCAAAAGTGTGGCCAGCGTTCTTGTGAGCCTGCACTACTTCTGGAGAGTGGTGACGCATGAACTGCCATAGTGGCACTTTCTCGCAGTATCGTACCTCGTGCGGGCGGTGATCTGGGCCCGTTTCGATGCGGACTAGATCTCTGTCCATGCTGAAATGAAGACAAAGATAACCGAGTATATTCTTGTTCCCAAGAGCTGCTTTGATGCGAGTCATCTGTCCTTGGGACAACTCAGGTAGGCAACGCGAGAGGAAAGTGGAGATGAGCACATCCAAGACTGCATCTCCCAGGAACTCAAGCCTCTGATAAGACTCTGTCTTAGCATCGATGCCACAGGAAGGATGCGTCAATGCTTCCAGCAGCAACAACTCATCTTGAAAGCGGTAGCCAATCAAGGTCTCAGCTTCGGGGTCTCTCGGACTGTTGGACTTCACCGATATTCGCTCTGGAAACTGAGGTACAACGGCGCTGATCTCAGGAAGGAAGACGTTGGTGCACGCTCTCGCCGCTTTGAAGCCTGAGTCAATGTATGCAGCTCCGATAAGAGCTTCAACGACATCGGCCAAGGCTTTGATTCCGAGTGTTCGCTCCTCCGCCTCTTGGTCTGCATCGGAGATGCGTGGAACTGACCATTTACGCCGCAGCGGGTCTGTCAAGATGAACGAGCCTAATCCCTTTGCTATAGCAGCTCTGGCGAGTCTGGCGTTCGATACAATGCTGTCTTTCCGCTGAGAAAGGTACCCTTCCGGCCAGTTGCCGTGATCTGTGAATAGCTGGACAGAAGTTTGGAATTTTAGTAGCGCGTCTCCAAAGAACTCGAAGCGCTGATAGTTGGTTGCCCTCCCAGCAGACGGCGCAGAGATTGCTGTCACAATGTGCGATAGACTGCAAAACGAAACGTTGGGCAGGATCGTTTCCTGCAGTTGGTGGGCTACGGTAGAGGCCTCAATGTGCCGCCAGAGAGATGGAACAAACAAGTTGAATATCGCGAATCTATGGTCCAGAAGATCGACTGTACATTCGCGAGCCCGAATTTGCACGGCTGCCGATGGTCTTCCTAGATCGACAGCCGGAGCAGCAGCAAAATGGTTCGTGAGCGCATTCGGCGCTTCGAAGTTCCGACGCTTGATGAGGGGGACGCACACTACTTCCAGATCGAGCTTTTGTTGCGGTTCGCTGGTCATGCAAAAGAAGACCAATGGTTTTCCGTTCAGCTTGGTAGATCGGACAAGTCCCTGGATATCCTCACTACTACTCGTTAGGGCGTCGAGCATGTCTACACGTCCTTCGTATGCCTTGAACCAATCCATCAACTGATTCTCTTCGATGTCTGGACCGAGGAGGAACACAAAGTCTGTCTTGTGACTAACGCTCTGATCGGAACGTGTCGACTTATCTAGGAGCTGGGTGACAGCCCTTAGCTGTTCTAGCATGTCAATGCTTGCAACTGACTTCCGAGATTGGTTCCCGAAGCTGGCTTGGAAGATAGTCTCTGAATCCCAGTATAACAAGACATCTGGAATATAGGATAATCTTGTCGGAGTCGTGAGCCTCATTGACAGCTTCTCATGCGTTCGATTGCAACTGACTGTTATCGTGGTCTGATGCAAGTCGGGAGTCGCCCATGCCCGCGCCATCTGAGTAAACGGCTTTATCTGCTTGCTCCGCAATGCCTTTTTCAAGAGTTGCTCTGTGTTCGCATCATGGTCTTTCCACTCGTGTGTCAACGGGAGAAGGTGGTCATTCAAAAGTCCGGCTTCGAACAGAGCGACGTAACACTGGAAGGCCGCATCTCTCATCGCTGCTCGCTCGGTTCGCCATCCTCGTCGCCCACGAGTAGATCGAAGTGAAGATTTGACGCAATTGGGAAGTGTCACAGTGCAGGTAATCAGCCCGCTGTCCTTTTCCCTGTAAGAGAACACTGGGCGCGTTTCGGCATATCTCTGCCGAGGCATAACGTCGCAAAAGTGATGAAGATGTGACATGGCTTTCTCAGCTGTCAAGTAGGCTCTGTGGGTCTGGTCAGACTTCTGATGGAGAATCTAAATGTGACATACCCTGTAGCTCCAACGCAAAGCGAGTCGTCCACTGACTCTTGTTCGTTCTCCAGTAACGCAATCCTTGTTCTCGCTCGATCATCGTCTTGGTACATCTTGGCTAAAGCGTTCTCGAGCTCTGGCCAGCTATCGAGCTTCGTCTGAATACTGTCTGTGGGGACCATAATGACGTACTGAGAGGCATACATCCTGGCGCGGCCGCGGCGCTGAATATATGACTTGAGGTTCGAAGGCGCATCGAAGCATACCACTAGATTGCATGCGGCCACATCGATCCCTTCTTCGAGCGCGTCCGTGGCGATGACGATGTTTTTCTTCCCAGTGCGGAATTCAAGCATAGTGTCTTTCTGTGCTTCCTTATCGAGCAGCTCACATAAGGCGAGTTTGCCGTGCGAACTGTTTGACAAGCCAACAAAAGTGGCACACTTGAACCTCGTCATTGTCCGCGGATGATTAGCCAGAATAGTGTAGAGTACACCGACTATAGCCCGCTGTTGGACGAAGATCAGTCCCGAGCATTGTTCCGGCTCCTGACGTTCTAAGAAGGCTATTAATCGTTCGACCTTGGGAGACAACTGACTCCGGAGGGACAGAACGTCAGGCGCTTGGGTGAGCTCTTCTCGATTGAATACATGCTGCAGTTGATATACCATTTTGTCTTCTTCTTTGATATAGAATGCTGACGCCTCCAAAAGTTCAGCTTTGTTTCTTATCCTTTCAGTTGTGCGAAGGATATAGTAGGCTGCTGCGGAAGGCCCGAGCTCTTTGTAGACATGTGTCGCCTTGTTGTAAAACTTCCTAATCTGATCAGAGAAGTCCGTGAACGATCCTTGCGAAGTCGATCTGCCAGCTCTAGTCGAACTTTGGTGCGGGACTGACGGAGCGCTTGATGTTCTTTGTTCAAGGGACAACCTCTCACTTAGTCTGCGAAGTTTCGAAAACACATGACCCGTGATAGACTCTTCCGAAGTTTTGCACGGGGGAAATTCAAGTCTCTGTACTTTTGGATGATGAACAAATTTGAGCAGGTCCTGTCGGTGTAGTCGTGGAGTGACGCATGTCGCGTCAAGATTGGCTTCGATGTTGCTTTGACATTGTAAGCATGACTTGAGACTGAAAATCGTCTGCGTGCTTACCTTAGTCCCTTCAGGTTCGATCTGAGGATTGGACTAGCAGAGAGACCCAGGATATGCGGCACAACGCCCGATCTTGCTTTAGTCGGATAGTAGAGATTTCTCATAATCCTGTTTCCAGCGTGCCCGCCGACACATGAATGAGCTGAGACTATCAGCCTGAACTTTTGTAGCAGAAGGTGCGATTACCTTCATCGAAGACGAGGAGTGCCAAGCGACGCATGGCTATGAAGCCGTGGCTCAACGCATCCTCTAGTACGGCGTGGGTTGAGACGACGATGCGAACACCTTCTAGCACGGAGTCCCAGGTACTTTGTTCACTCCAGCGGTCTACGTTGTCTGCGCCAGTCAAGAGCTGCGTTCTGACTGCTGGTAGATAGGAGCGCAAGTAAGCATGCTGCTGCCTGCATAAGGCTACAGTCGGAGCCATAAACCATACCAGCTGTTGAAAGTCAACTATTCAATCTTTGCGCATTGCTTGCATGTTTCGGTATGGGAACGTGCCTTTTCTGCTGGGCAGCAGTTTAGCTCCTCTCGGATACGAAGTACAGCTCTGTGTGGCGGAAATCAGCAAGCTTCTCACTTCCCGCAAACTGGCTCACATAGCTGTTTTTCCACTGCCAGTATCCATCTGTATTCAGTCAGCACAAGTTTTGTCTCCCAACAAGCAGAAGCAGCACCACAACGATGACGTTCCCTTCCAAGCTACGCTTGAGCATCTCAGCCTGGTACGAGCGCACCCGTAATTCGTCGACTGAATCTTGTATCGTGTCGTCCATGGAGTATGCAGAAGTTTGTGTCAAAGATTGGGGAGAGTGTGCGACCTGATGTGATGCTAACAGTAAGCAGGCTGGAGGTATGGTCGCGTCTGACGATGTGGGGCGCGCTTACCCGACCCCCTAGCTTGTTTCGGACTTGCAGTCTACGTATCAACGAGCAGTGGTGTCACGACATGCTGCAGTCTTGGCGATCATCACAAGATCTAGAGCGACTAGTGATAGATCACGACGCCGCATTTCTAACACATGTGAAGGCTCGAGTCGAGCTTGCTTGACTTAACGTGCTTAAACAGGCTGCTCACTGGGCTCACATTTGCGACCTAGACTACCTTATTGATAAGCTCCAGGAACACTGATGAGCCTTTGGGATACTTCATGATGTCATCAACCGTTATCTTCCCTACATCAAAAAGTCTCCACTCGTGTACATCTCCAAGAGTCAGAGCTTGCACAGTGGGGAGAACGGCCCTACTGAGACCGCGGAGTAGATCACCCTGAGACCTGTCCAAGATATCAAGAAACTCAGCGTACTCGACGTTATTTGGAGTCATGATCCTGCGTCACAGTCACTGATAGTTCGAAATCAGCAGTGACCCTACTCACATCTTATCGGTGATACCGATATCTGTACCGGCGACGCCCTGATCTAACATGAGACCTAGAATGCCTTTGCCGAATCTTGTCTCTAACGTTAAAGAGGGTGAACAGTAATGGTCTTGCGGATTGCCCGGGAGTCCGAGCGCTTTGAACGACAGGGGTATTACTGATTTGCATGTCTAAGAGAAATCAGTTAAGGTCGTAAAAAGCGACAACTTGACACAAAAAGTTGCTAGACCCCATAAGCCGTGTCTGTCAGTTCGATTGGCAAGCTTGAATCTAGTGTATACTTGTTGCATTCGCACAGAAACACCGTCTAACGTTGTCTGCGCAGTTTTGGTGAGGCAGGACCGTGCGAAGGTTTGATCGTCGTTGCACAGAACTACATGGCTATCACGCAGCCAATCAAAGGACGTGGGGATATCGGTACAATATCAAACGGCAGTACAACGGAGGAAAATTAAGAAGATGTTGGCAAGGTGAGGGGAAAGGAGAAGTGTTCAAAGGTGATAAACAGCGCCCAACTGACGATCAGAAGATCCACTTGCACCCACGAAAAACAATGGATCAGTTCAACACCATATTCATACACATCCCCAGATGCCGCATCCTTGTTTGTAAAGAATGTGGCACAGGTGTCGTCAAGGCCCATGTAGCGACCCATTTGAACAGCAAGCATGCATATTTGACCGTAAGCACAAGAACAGACGTTGTCCGAGTAGTACGGGCGATGAACGACTTGGCAGAAGATGAGGACGGAGTCGTGTACCCAGAACCAGGATCCGATCCCATACCCCATTTAAGAATATGGCAGGACGGTATCAAGTGCGAGGCAAAGGAGAACGACGCGACGAGGTGTGGTTACATCCGCCGAACTGTGCA